AAGTAATTAATATTAAGATTAATAATTATTAATTTCGAATTAAGAGATCAATTTACGTTTCATAAAAGAAAACCTTATAATTTAAAATTTAGTTATTAAAATATATTTAAAAAGTTGTAATATTATGAAAAATGGAAACTAAATGTCATTAAATCAAAGAGTAAGTAATGAAAAGATAGAAATTTACAATATTTTCTGTGTACAATATTAATAAAATAATATATGTGACAAGTAATGTAAGTATTCTATCGAGAAAATTTATACATTTATAATATCGATACTATATTTATTTATTTGTTTTTGATGTTTGAATAAATATAGTATAATAACTAGATCGAGATTTGTATATTTTATTTCATGTCTCAAGAGCAAATATCATTTATTAACGAAATGATAAACGAATTCAAACAAATGAGCGCGTTGTGATCGTCATCAGCATCATCGTTTTAAATAGGTAAAAACGTCATTATCTTTCGAAAAGAGTAGCGAAAAGAGTCAAAGTTGTCAAGAAAAGAAAACATCCAAAGAAGCTGGAATAAGAAATTTTTCCCAACAGTTTAGTACAAAAATTGTTAACAATATTGTTTATTAAAGGCACTCGTTGGATTCTATACAATTTATAAAGTGATTAACAATATGTTATACAAATTTGTTCTCGAATTTATTATATTACTGTAAACACTATAACTGGCACAAATTTAAAAATGAACATTTTTTATTAATTATAAATTTAATCAGAATTAATAATTAAATTTAATTGTTCCAGCATCCATGGAATTTTTTTTCGATATATTATATCGTTCTTTCGGGCTCCGCGTATCGTCGGTTCGCTCGCGAACTGAAAAACATTGGGCGAAGGTCGTCCGATAGAGAAAGATTGTATGTAGAGAGCAAAAATGAATCATAAAGAACTCGTAGACAGTCTACGCGTCAAATTTGGCTTGAAAACGAAACATTGCGCAAACCTCTGTTTTATGTATCTGAACCCAACTGTAGCCAAGTCATCGCAAGTCCAATTCACGCGAGAGAGTTTCTCCAAATAGTCTTTCGATATAATGCATCATAAATATACATTATATATATATATATATATATATATATATATATATATATATTTATATTATAGATACATTTTACATAAGTGATAATTAACAGCTTGTAATATTTACGGAACGCGACTGAACTCAATTAAATGGCGTGGCGTGTAGCTGTCTAATTAATATATTACTGATCGAAAAAAATTGAATTAATTAATCACCTGCATGATGTTAGATATAAGATATAATTAGATTCGCGAACGAATTGATGTGAACACTATTGATATAAATATGTATAGTAACGCTTAACAGTTCAATTATTGAATTAACAGCTGAATTATTATGATTATACTACATAAAATTGTATATAGTCAATTAGTGACAAATGATGGGAAAAAAGATATAGAATTATTTGTTTATTTAACGTTACATATTGTTAATGAAAAAGATTTTTGAAGATGATATTACAATTTTTCATTCTAAAACATTTTAGCTAAATTATATAAAAAAGTTCTGATATAATGTGAGATGTTTAAATTTATTGCTCTGATAAATTACTTGAAAGGCACTATTACTGTGCGACATCAATGAAATTAAAGAAAAAAAAATCTTGAATAATTTATATTTCAGTAATTATAAATAAGTGAAGCAGCCACCGCATTGAATGAATGTAGGACTTGCGATCGATAAAGTTGGGGACAGATACATGTTTTTACGTTGCGTCTCTATCTTATATGGCAGATCGTAACCTTTTCAATTAAGCGATATGCATCGCATAGAGCGATATGGAAACAATTATGCAAACAGATATTATGCAAAAAGCGTCAGTTTTTGACGCTATTCGCGGTATATTAATTTCTCTATACAAAATTGTTAAATATCATATATACTGCTGCGTTAAAGTATAAAATCACACATTGCTTTTTTTCTCGTAACGATAAAAATTACAGATTAAAAATACAGCTAAAAGTGATAAGTTAGAAGAGAAGCAATATATAATGATATGATGATATTATCATGATATATGATTTTTTTTATATTATTATATATTTTAGTTATTATATGTTATTTTTTGTTATAAAAGAAAAACGATTATAAAAAATGAAGTAAAATTTTCCATGAAGACGTTCTGCCCGACTCCACGCGCAAGCATATACGTCTTATGTATTTGTCTTTCGGAGTAAATATTTTTCCGGCAAAGGCACGAGGAGCTTCCGTGCGAGAATATGAAATAATAAGCGATACATACGACAAAGAACTCCGCCCAACGCCATCCCGATGAAATATTTACTCGACTCGCGGAAATCGTGCACCAAACTTGTGAACTCAATATTGCCGGCGGGGGTTTCACCGGTTACGAAAGAGGAAATCGCACACAATTGGCATGGTTCGATCGATATATACCGGGGCAAAAACAAGTGTGTATAATAGACAAAAAAATCACATCGAGCGCGTAGCTCTGCAGCAGCGATTCCCAATCTTTTTCCGATCTTTCAACTTTCTTGGTATGATATTTTTATTGTAAACTCTGAGATTTTTAAAAAAATTTTAAAAACTGTTAAATTTAAAAAATTGTTAAATTTGAAGGAAAAAAATGTGTATTGTTTTTTTACTGAGCTAAAAAACAAAATGTATTGTCAAAATTTTAAAATATGTTACAACATTGTACAAACATTGTATACGAATTATGATTACAATGTATGACATATATGTTTGGATGAATATATATTTGCCATCGTAATAGTAAAATATTTAGTAATTATGAAAATAAACAAAAGATTATTAAAATTTGAAAAGACGCCAGTTTGCTTTCAACTAATGCTTGCATGCTATTACATTAAAATATAGTTTTTTTACAGCATTTGTTTTTTTAGTATAATTTGTTTTCTTTATTTATATATATTTGAATTTTAATCACTTTTATGAACTTCTTTTTCTTCCTTTATTAATTGAAAATCGCTACTTTATAGTACAGCAGAGAATTTTAGGGTTTGCAATTTTCATGTGCTGTTCAAAACTACTTAGCGGAAACAGACTACTTATAGGGTACATTTAACAAGCTATTAATCATATGTGGTCGACAATTATTATTATCTACATTACAATTATTCACCAAATGTTCAATTCCTCTAAATTTAATTAATATGTATATGTTATACTTAAAAAATTATACCTATACAACTTCTCTCTAAAAAAGAAACTATGTTAGAAATTAGCAAGATTATTTAGTAAAATGTTGGATTACTTATATACTTTCGTAAAATATGTTTAGGATCCTACCGTAGCGAAAATGGATTTTCTGAAATAATCAATAAGAAAATTATTCGAAGATTATTATATAACACGAGTGAAAAAGATGAAGAAATGAAGAGATAATGATCGTCTTCATAAATATTGTTTTAAGTTTACTTTTGATGTAAATTGTAAATTATCCTCTCTCGAGAATATATTTCACAATAAAATGTAACGTATTTTATAATAAAATTTGAACTGAATAAAATATTCCGATAGATCAATTATTTTCTCTTGTGTCATACAATGTCATATGATGTCATAAACGATGTTACAAATGTGTATCGATCAATCAATTTTAATTGATTAATACAATACATTAGTAACATCATATGACATCATATGATTTAAAAATCGACGACTATTTTAAATCTTCCATTTTAAATCAAAAGCATTCGAGCAAAACTTTTTCACTTCGATTAATTTTCATCAATAAATATTAGTAAACAGCATAATTACTATTTATGGAATACTCGCATTGGTGAAAAAAAATAGTTGGTTCACAAATAATTAACGTCTAACCACGATCGCATTGAGGGTAGGAACGGGGTGTGCTCGACGTGCTTCCTTTGTATATACGTAAAAAAAAGAAGTAGGTTGCCCACATTAAACGCGTTCAACCTCGTCGTCTTATTGTTACGCAACAGTTTGCACGATATAAAAAATATAAAAAATAAAAATAAAAACGTTTTCTAGAGTTACACGATTTCGACGAGTATGAACTGATTTTCATTATCGCGATTGCAGTGGATGCGTATCTGTAGTAACAAGAGTGAAACAGATAAATTCTAAGACATATAAATAATAATTAAATCTTTGAAACTTTAATGTTTGTTAAAATTTGCAAAATTACAAAATAAAGAGAATTTCTCTATCATTTTAATATTCTATTATAATATTATTTATATAATTTAAACACATTAAAGGAAAGACTTTAAGACCTTTAATTTAAATAATGTTATGTAATAATATCATGTATTTTTCTAGATAAATATATTCGTGTATGTTCCATAAAGTACTATATTTCTCAATATGTGAGAATTTTGTATATATATGTATATAATTTAAAATAAGATAAACATATTGCGCGCAAAAGGTTGCATTGGCAATCCAGTGGCGGCTACAGCTCCGTCTGATTAAACGCACGTCATTACTACTGGCGCGATCGAGCATCCAGTGCAATCGTCATTAATCTCTATGTATGCGCGTATGGGATGATTCAGATTTCTGTTGCCGAGTCATTCATTACTTTAAATAAAAGAAGAAAATGTATTTCTTTTTTCAGTAAGAAAAAAATAATAGATTTCACCTTTTTTTAAATCTCGCTTTACATACTTTTTATATCATTTAAAGGAAAAAATAATAAAATATATATATATAAGAGTATGTTAATTTTAATGTTACTATAAATTGTGCGCATTTATATTCCATGTTTAATTATATACATAAATTAAAAATAATAACGCATGTAGCAAGAAATTTTCGTTCAAGAAATTTTTATTTTCCCTATTCTCAAGAAGTAAAAATAGTCTAGCCTTGTTAAAGTCCAATTAATGCTGGCTCTCGAGTCACACAAATCAATCGGCATCATTGCGAATCAACTCGTCATACGCGCCATACAATGAGTACACGCGAGTGTCCATATGTGCGCACATTCCACGTGGGACTTACGCTAGACGTGATATTCCCTTGGTTGGCGTGCTGCGCCGGTACCTCATCTTGATAGTAATCATCGTTCTGGGCACCTGTTACGCTCTGAGCGAAGTCGAGCAGCCGACGATTCGGACTGTCGGGCGTAGCGGGCAGATCGTTGGGCAAGTTTGGGAAGCAGGCGTTGGACACGCTGCGCCGATGTCGCGACAGGCTGTAATGTTCGTAATTGCGGTAACAACCGGGCCCGGTCTGAGCGGGTCCGCGGCCACACGCGGACTCCCCCTCTGTACTGTTACCATCCACCCCGGACATGTTATGACCTGAAAACAGGTTCAGGGTCTGTGTTGTTCGCTATGGGCGAGAAGCAAATCGCTGAATGAACTTCGAGCGAATGAACTTGGGATGTCGAAAAGAAGAGGGCGAATGCCATTCATTAAAAGAAAATTATTTTTTTTTATAATGTATTTATTCATTAATTTAAATTGCTAATATATAAATTCGTAGGAAAAATGAAAAAAAGACAAAATAAAGGAGAGAGATATACGTGTAATTTTAAATATTTTATATATTATCAGCAATTATCATTATTTGATTTGTCGAATTTGTGGAAAATCCAACGCGTTAATTTAAATAGGGCTTAAAATAGCTAGCTCGATGTAACATGACATAAATAATCTATTAATGATAGAATAAGTTGTGATTAATTTGTAACAATTCACTAGTTACAAATTATTAATTATTATAAATAAAACTAAATCTATATGTTTGTTTTGATATAATTTTTAAGAGTGAAAATAAATTATCTACAGACGTCAAAATTCATTAAATTTTCATCTTTAATATACTTTAATATATTTTCTTCAAAAAAAGAACTGTAAAAACTGAAACAAGAAAAAACAATTTTGAGAATTTTTTCAATTTAAAATAATTTAAAGTTACTTGGGGAGAGATTGTGAAAGCTTTAAAAAAATTTTATCAAAAGGATAAATAAAAATTGTTTATTTGTATAGATATCTATCGAAAGGTGTGTTTTCGTTAAATAATACTGATACTAATTACAGGTTTTTAGGAAGTAAGGGGAGATTAAAGATTATATAGGGCAGTATGGCAGTATATATATATATGTACTCGGCGCTATTGAGAAGTGAGTTAATAATATACTGCGATCTAGGGAAAGGAGGATGCCTATTATCCGCGCAATCGTGATAATAGTATAATCCAATTACGATAAATTTCAGAGTTTGCATGCGCCCTTTACCTTTCTCCCGCGCCGGATGTTACTTATTACACGAATGTGCGAATCAGGGTTGTCGAATCGTGAATTAATTTTGTAATAATGATTTAAAATGTAAATGTAAAAATGTCGAAATCGAGATGATGCATCACGGAATTAACTTTACGAACACGAGCCCACCCCATCTCGCGATATCGCGATTGAGGCAAGATTGAGGAAAGAGGAGAGAAAGAGAGAAAGAGAGAGAAAATAATAGCTAATTGTAAGAAATAGGACGATGCGCATGCCATTCGGCAAATTGGCTCTCAGAGCCGTGACGATGATCTCGGGTCGAGGCCGAGTTTGATAAGTCGGCGACGCGAAGCACGTCGTGACACAAAGCAGATTGCAGATATCCTCCGCGAGCGCATCGATCCGTCGCTTACCGGTGTCGACGATGACGTCGATGAGGTCCATGCTCTTGGCGAAGGCGTCTCTCAGGTTGATGTGATGGAAGGACACGATGCTGCCCTCCCGCTTGGCCCTCTCAAGGGCCTCCCGCCTTTTGATGGCCTTCTCTCGTCTCATCTGGTTTTTGTAGAATTCGGCGAAGTTGTTGACGATAATGGGAATGGGCAACGCGATTACCAGGACACCACATATACAACACACACTGCCGATCACCTTGCCGAGCGGGGTCGTGGGGTAGATGTCGCCGTATCCGACGGTGGTCATTGTGATGCCTGCCCACCAAAAGGTTTCTGGAATGCTTATGAATTTGGTCCCGGGCTCCTCCTTCTCGGCGAAGTAGGCGAGGCTCGAGAATATAAGGACACCCATCGCCAGGAAGAGCATCAGCAGGCCCAACTCTTTGTACGAGTTACGTAAGGTAAAGCCAAGGCTCTGTAACCCGGTCGAGTGGCGGGCCAGCTTCAGAATCCTCAGGATCCGCATTATACGAAAGATTTGCACTACCCTGCGCACGTCCTGGAACTGGTCGTTCGCGTTCTTGTTCGTCTCGACCAGGAACAGAGATACGAAGTATGGCAGTATCGCCAGCAGATCGATCACGTTAAGACCGCCCTTGAAGAATTTCCACTTGTCCGGTGAAGCACTGAACCTAAGCAAGTACTCAAGAGTGAACCACGAGATGCACACAGCCTCCACGTAAGCGAACTGCGGATTATCTTGAAAGATCCCCTTTTCGTCAGTCACTTGCATACTAGGAATGGTGTTGAGAGTTAATGCGATCGTCGAAAGCACAATAAAGAGTATTGATATCACAGCTATCACCTGGAAAAGCGACGAGTCAACCGATCAAACGGAGCTAATCAATCGCGAATTATTTGGTCTACGTGTAAAATACTTTCCTCTCTTAATATTTTTTTCTTTGTTTTTTTCTCGTTCGTCTTTATCGAATCTATCGGAGTACTTATAATATATACACACAGTATTAATAAAAGTTGCGAAGCACTATTGCAATGGCGTATATCTGGATCCAAGCGAGTCGAAAAGTCTTTTATGGTTTCTTCCTCCGATCAATAATTTCGAGATATCGTTAGAAATTATTAAGATTTAATTAAAATCTCGATTGTTGTGAAAAAGATATGAAATGATATAAAAAGATATGCTGTGTCACAAATTCTTTAGCTTATGATATCTCGACGATTGTTCATCGGAGAAAAAAATAATAAATAATTTTTCGATATCGCGCACTCGCTCTTGCAATATTGCTTTACTTTTGTTAATCTCACATGTATATATTTATATATATATATATAATATACTGCTCTTATCGTCTATATTAAAACAGAGTGAAGGATAATAAATAACTTGCCTACATTCTAGCCTCTACGATCAACTCGTACGAACTACTATCGTGATGAACAATAGACACATTGCTAAGATGTATGGAATAATTCGAATACAATTTTTCCCTGAAATCTCGACATAATCAGTGTCAATTATAAATTTTTTAGACCACGCGACACCATAAATTTGGCTGAAGAAAGCATTGCAGATAAAAAAAATATATATTCGATTCTATTAAGATAATAAATACACAGAATCAAAAACATGATAAAAATTCAGTCATCGCTGAATATTTCACAAGCGATATAATTGTGATGGAAAAAAAATTAAAGCTCTCACTGCGCGACAGAGTATAATACAATAAAATACGAAGCTAATGGAAGTAACGATTAAAACGTTTTTAAAGCGATACATTAGAAGCAAATATACATACATATATGTATGTATTAATATATAATTTTTTGGCATATATTACACTGTATATTTATACTGTAAAGCAAGCGATACACCATAGCGATACACAGAAAGCAATTCTCTGAGTATTTTTGTTGTACATTATATAATATTTACATACGACATGTAGCATAATTTTTACATGAATATATTGAACGACTATAATAATTAACGCGTCATTTCTTCTACATCTCGTAATTCTATTTTATATGAAAACATTGTTAGTTAAAGCCACTACGATATTTCCTAGAATTGAAGCTTGCTGATGAATAATACTACTGCTCAATTAACACCTAACATCGTTAAGGAAATACTATTTGTCGGGTGATTATTTAACTCCAAATACAAACTTGCGCTTCCCTGCACGTTTGATTGGGAGAAATAGCACGATAAATGAGTGCGGAATTCATTGAGCTTGAAGGATTCTTGCAATACAAAGTAAACCTTCGCGAAACCAGCACAGAGAAAGAGAAAGAGAGAGAGAAACCATCGAGATAGCAAACGCAACCCTGACCAAGCGGTAACCACCACAAACAAAGAAGAACGTAATGTCACGCTGATGCTTCTGCGAAACTGAACGATCGATTTGGTAACAGGGAATGGATCGTAAAAATGTATGACGCAACACAGCCTCGTTATCGGGTCTCGTCGTTTAAACGCAGTCTGCCCGACGTCGCTCGACTCACACAATTTTTATTGTATTGTTCGGTCAGCGTATAAAAGTACATCTGTGTCCCTTCAAAACCCCGCTCCCTTGCCCGACCTGAATCCCACGTGTCCTTGTTTTTCGAGAGGTCACCAACTCGTACTATTTTCCCCGTCCCTCCTTCGGTTTTTACACACACACACCCCCTTCCCTATTACCATTCTACTTTCACGCTAGTGCAATCGCTACAATGCGAAATCAATTCGTCGCTTTGAGGACTCAGCGAAAACATGAGATTACTCAACATAAGATACCAAGGAGCTTGCTTTGCAATATTTATTTGCTTCGCAAATAAATAAGGGAAGTGCGTATATTCGGGAGCAAATCAACAAATTTATTAGCTTTATATAGTTATTTATATGACTATACATTCATTTCTTGAAAAATAACGTAATAAATATAAGACGTAGTAGTTAAATATTGGTCTAGATAAATATTAGAGATTTTTGAAAAAAAAGTATTTTATGTAAATAAAAATATAAGAAAGAAAACGTAGTTTTTATATCAAATTTAATTCACTCTCTTCAATTGTTATTACTATATTATGTTGTATGTATAAAAAAATTTGACAAGGATTTAACAAAAATACTTAAGAAAGAATAGATAATTTATTACACATTTGATTCTGCACTTTTTAATGTTCTTTTTGGAGAAAAAAATCACGTAAAAAAATTTAAAATCATATAAAATGTGGAAGGCTAAAACTCTATAAAAATCATATATACTTTAATTCAGATTGCCCCAAATATACTATCTCGTAAGCAAAAGTTAAAAAAAAACAGCGAAGGGAGAAAAATAGATTTGCTACATTTTAACCCTTTGCGATCCAACATTAATTTCCGTAATGATTGTTATCATTAAATATTCTTTTAATTTTAGTATTAACAATTAAAAGTAATCACATTTGAGAAATTTTATGAAAATTTTAAGAAATTTATCAATATTATATTGATTTTTTCAAATATTAAAAAACTTAAAAATTGTCAGAAGAAATGTTCGTTTCAATATGTTACAGCAAAGGATTAAACAGTAAATTATTTGGGAAATTTCGAATGAGAGAGATGGTATTAAAATTAATGTTTCCGAAAGGAATGTACAATAAAATGCATATATATGTGTGTGCGTGTATATATACGTGTTAATAGTGACGACAAGTGTAAAGCAAGTGCGTGCAGTGTACTCTGTGTGCGGAACGGAACTCGATAGTATTGTGCAGTAAAGCGAGTTCGTGCGAGTTGTTTCTTTCCATTTATAACAATATTGAGTAGAAGAAGCCGAGATAGATTGAGTAAGCGGACAAAAAAGGCGGACAAAAATCGAAAATTCATACATATTATTTAAATTAAAGTGCAGCGGTCCCCCGAAAAATACATATATACATTATAGTTACAATTATTATTCGGACAAGTATATCATTCAGCCGCGTAACGTATGATGTTTGCAATCGTCTTTTAATAATTTCACTTGTTATATGTAATAAAACTTAAAAAAATCACGCAATATCAATCATGTATAAATTCTTCTTTTTGCCTGACTATAATATAAGTAAAAGTGTCAAAATACAGAGTAATAAAATATCATTATTATAATAATAATATAATAGTTTAATTATATATGTATGTAGATATATATAGCAGTAATAATAATATATATTTTTGTAGTTTACAAATTAATTTTTTATATATATTTATAGTTATAATAATTATGTATATTAGTCTATAATCACTTGTATTATACACTTATATCATACATATTATAGTCATGCAATTTTCAATAAAAAACATACATATCAAGCATATAATGAGATTTAGTTTAGCAATTAAAAAAGTTTTGCATTCAATGCATTTTAAAACGCAGGGAAATGCTATGATTTGATTAATTTTAACAAATGTATGCGAATAGTTTATTAATATAGCTATTAATTAAGCTATTCGTCTAGGAACATAACATACGTTAATCAATTTCAAAATATTTTAATATTACGAAGTAATATTAGCTTTTATTAGTCATCAAATAATTGCTCCAGCCACGTGTAGAAAATAATGGAAGTCTATATTCATCAATACAATGAATCTTTAATATAGTGTGAAGATTTGTACGAATACACGGAAATACAAATTATCAATTACCAAGTATTTTATAAACAATTTTACATCTGAGAAAAACTAGTCTTCAATTTGATGCATACATAACATCAATCTCTGAAACATTTTCTAAATAAATATATGTATATATACACAGTATACCATGATAGACTTAATAAAAATCTATACAACAGATTTAAAATCTAATATGCAAATTTGACTTCACGAATTTATAAATATTCAATTCAATAATTTATTTTAATTCCAATATTTTACAATCGCATATTTACTTTAACAAAATGGATATTTCCAAAGTCATTTATAAATACAATATATATTATACGAAATAAAATTTTGTAAAACATAATTTTTAAGATTTACATAATCAAATCAAATTATGTATAAATACATAAAAAATTTGACAGGAATTAACAAAACAATCTATCTTATTATTTTTTCGAGTTGCAAAATTACTTTACTTTCACAAACATTAATGTACTTATTAATATACTTAATTATATAATGAGATATAATTTATTTATAATGATTAAAACGATCAATAGTATTCGCACAAATCTATGCGCAAATATCATACATTGTCGCGACATTTCATAATATTCTCAAGAGACCAGCGGATCACGGCTGAAGGGTATACTCGTCGGCAATTGTATTATAGTGTTATGACCTCTTACGTACTCTAAATATACTTGGCTCAGATCAATATTTCTGTAATATTGATAAGCCGATTAAAGGGAACACGTCTAGAGACGAAAGACGAGAAAGGGTCCCGAGAGAATAGAGAAAATCTGTCTCGGCGGATGAAAATTGATGCACCAGTGCGGTGCAATGTGTGTGTATCAGCTTACGGAAGCAGCATTTTGCCGCAGCCGTTATCATACGGGCGTGCAGCGAGATAAGGGCAACAGAAACCGTAGTTAGGGAGCCATTTCAAGATGTCGGACGCCGACATCGTTCGACTCAGGCGACTTGAGGGATGATCTTGGATAAGTATAAGGGTACTTTAGAGGGAAGAAGGAAGTGAGGGAAGAAAAGAGATTATGATTGATATTTTTCTCGGAAATTCTTGTATTTTTTTAAGAGTTAGAGAGAAAAACACAGGTGCAATGTGAAAACCCCGCACAAAATAGTTCATCTCGGAGCAACAGTGTGCAATGTGTATTGTTTGTGGTGTGTTAAGTATATATATTGAGGAAATTGTACGTTCGTGAGATAAAGTGTCGCTTGTTATTAAATCAAGAAGATTCTTTCGTGAACGATGAAACTGATTGTCGAGTCCGCGATCGATTCTCGGCGCGACACGTACAAAGTTCTTGTCTTTAGGCCATCAGCACGTAAATGTTATTTAAGCTAATACACTATAAGATGTCCCAGATATTTTTTTTCTCGATATTTACAGGTATTTAATCTTCTTTGTGCGAAATTACGAAAAAGAAGAAAATTTTGAACTTCGTATTAGATACCATTTTTTATAATTTTATGATTTTTAGCCATATCTTCGTACAAAGGTACAAGTTAAAATCTTGTATTGCAATAAGATCTATGTAGAATTAAATAAAAAAAAATAACATTTTGTTACTATTTGCGTTGCGATAGTTTTCTCTCCTGAAAATCTTTTCGTTTCGATTATTTGCAATGGTTCGATGATTTGATATTAAAACAAATGACATTTCTTATTTTTTATCATCTAAAAATTTCATAGCTGAGAAAGTATATAGTTCTAGGATGTACATTGTTTAATTCATATTTGTCATACTGGCGTAAAGTGTGACACACGAATATCGACATCGGACTCGATATAAAAACGGATCGGTATTAATAATATAATATGATACATCTCGTTAGTTATATCATATTTAATATTGGTTACTCATTAATTATACTGGGTGTCTCAGAGTCACTTTTCTGTCACCTCTTTAACAAATTCGAAATTAATATTTATATGATAAATTTAGAGAAAAACTATATTTTATTGTTATTTTTCGATCCGCGACATTAAATACTTTAATAAATAAAAAAAACTAAATTCATTTTCTTTCGAGAGAAAATGCATTCATTGATTATCGGATTAATCGAAAAGCTAAAGGCTATAATCTATTTGCGCTCTTGAAACACAATTCGTCATCGTCTTTAATCTTGCTTAAAAGAATAAAATAAATAGATTTAAAATATTTAAAAAATCTTTTGAAAACTTATAATATATTGCTATTTTTATTTAAAAAAAACAGTATCTTTTTCTTACTTTACTTGTTAGATTATTTTATTATAAAAAGAAATGTTGCAAATCTGGCACACCCTGTATGTAAATTTTCATATTTCAACACATAAATATAAATTTATCTATCATATAAACTTGTACCATAAATAAATGAATAAATTATATAAACAGATTTATGTTTTTATATAAGTGTGCATAGGGCACGCGTGCATATTTAGATATACATATGATTGTGGTGTCGAATTGAAATCGCTGGTAGCGAAACCATTAAATAATGCTTAGGGAGCGGTGTCGAGAAAGAATCAACGTGATACCTGGTAATCGCGTATAAAGCACTCCCATTATCATCGATGGCCGATTTATACGGCATGGCGGTTATGCTTGGAATACAATATGAAAATTATAGATTAAAAGCTTGAATTACAATAAGAGGGGAAAAAGAGAGAGACAGATTAATATCATGTATTGGGCAACACCACCTAGAAATAAAATACACATTACAGAAATTGATATTAAGGTCAGGAAGTTATTTGCCAAAATCTACGATATCGTATGCGCATACTTACTCATACACTAAAAATGTAAGAGTGGACATATGTTATTTGATGTTAAATTGTCTAGATGTGTTAATGCCAAAGTACAACTATCTATGATGTTAATCAGTATCCCAAAGAAAATAATCTAAAATTACGATTTGATTTATGAATTATGCCAGTTACGCTCAATCGACTCGTGTAAATTCGATTTGGCTGTGTTATTATTTAGATTTTCTCGAATATTTTTTTAAGTTACTTTAAGTATCTTTTCTCATCGACATTTTTATAATAACTTGTAATTTATTTTTCTTAAGCAAAGCGAATCGGAAAATATGTCATATTAGTACTCGTAATAAAAGGAATAAGTTAGAAGAATAAATGTTCAATTGGATTAATTTTTTAAATATATGTGTATAAAATATGTTAGATTTTTTAGAAAAGTTGAAATTTTTATAATCTGGGTCTAGCTTTAAACACGTACTATTTCTTTATGTATTATAATAATATATTTAGTAATAATCATAAATAGAAGATTATATATCAAGTAAGTGATCACTATTAGATATAATTCTTTTCCGATAAAGATATATTAATTTAAATAATGATATTTTTTATATATGTTGATATTTACGTATTTTAATATTCTAAGAAATGATTCTAATTATATTATCCTATCTAATTATATTAATCATAAAAATTATATGACATTAAAATTTTTATTATAATTTTATTAAATTTTTTATTCGCGAAAAAAATACATTATCTCAGAATATCAGCAAAATCGACTGCGACCTGCCGATCGAGCGCGTCTTGCGAAGTGATCTAAGACGATGATATGAATTCGAGGTCATATCTTCTTTCTAATCTGTTTGCCTATATAATACGAGCTACGTTGAATCGATGCTGTAATATCGATTTAATAATACCTTTGCTCGAATTAAGGCTCCGGCAAAGAACTGCAAGTGTGGATATATCGTTAAGTAAATAAATACAAATGAAAGTCGATGATGAAAAGTGTGTTTATAATAAGCGAAAAAGTTTAAGTGTAATTTCAGGATTATATCATAGAAATCGACTCGCATCCTTAAAGACGTTTTGTGCAAAATTATATGTGCTGTTCGACGACTTTATTGATCCTTAACCATCATTTTATGCGCGTAAAAAAATAACGATCTGATAAAAGTCCGATTGGATGAGGAGATTACGACAATAATCGCCAACGCGCATTTCTTAGCAAGACGGACGTAAGGAAAGTTTTATTTATAAGAATAGAAACGTCGCGAATCGTTTCCCATAACGAGAAGATCACGCTATCGAGTTTGTTAAAGGCAAATACTAAACTTAATGATGAAAAGAGTCAGTTATGACATCGATTAATTTAATTTTTCCTTTAACTGCGCCATCGCGTATTGTAGTAACAATATTGAATTTTTAATTGTATATATGGGGATAATTAAAAGATACAAAATCTCACATTTATTTGCTGTGTCAGTGAAAATAACATCTTTCAATAATTAATTAAGTATAGACTCGAGCATCATACTCTATGATATAATATATACAATCGACTATATTATATATCATAAATTAAATAAAAATATTAATAAAAAATCAACTTTGTTCTTTGTTCTTTGTTGAAATAAAAATATATTGTATAGATATATAGAATTTAATATTAGCATATGTTAAAATATTTAGTTTTTACAAAAACTAGAACTAAATATACTCTCATTATTTGTTTTTCTAATCAAAAATTTACTAAATAGTTATTCTTTAAATTATCCTCTTTTGAATATATCCTCTTTTGCATGATAAAAAATGTGCGCATTTTATATATTCTCTATAGACATAATATTATAACAGTCCAAATAAAATATTTAAAGGAAAAAAATATTCAATAAAACTGAATATAAAAAAGATATTATATAAATATGAATGGAAAAAAAGATTCAACACAAAATCGTATATGTATGTACATTTCTAAATGTATATATTAATCATAAGCAAACTACTTAAGATATTAAAGTAATATAAATTGATGATTTTTATATGACAGGAATCTGTCATATATTGCTAGCAATGCAATTTTTAGCACAACTTAATTTATCGCGTAAATAAATTTTTTTAAGATTGTCGATACACGCAATTAATGCAAGAAACATATTCTATACAAGTATCAAACAAGTGTAATTTCGTTTTGGCAACTTCCCAACGTCGTAGATAAAACGTAGCTATGAAAATGAGCCAGAAAGTAGTACGAAAACATGACAATAAAATGAAAACAGTGTGACTTTACTAGAGCTGTTTAAATAATCATCCGCTAAACTCTCAAATTCTCATAGTTATATTCTTCTAGTTTCTCTACCATATTCTTCTCACAAGTTTCTCGTGTTAAAATCACTTTAAAAAGAGAGAGAAGAGTCTAAAATAAATTAAATTGATCAGGGTCGATTAATGTTCTTGTTGTGACAACTCGACCTCTTGGCTCAAATTCAACAATCGTTTCCCGATAACGAATCGCGATTCTACAAAATTGTGTTAAGAAATTGAAGATCAACAACGGCTTTTCAATAAGTTGAATCTGATATTCCCTCTCTCGTGTATGTCTTTCTTAATAAATTATTCATGATAGATATTCATTAAATACTAAGAATTAAATTGAAAAGTAAACTTATGCTTAAAATTCTGTTAAAAAATATCAAAATTATTTAATAAATAATATTGAAATATGTTAATTATTAAAAATGTGCGACTGAATATTAATAGTTTGGAAAATATTTATAATTTTTGAGAATTTTTTAGTAATAAAATAAAAATAATTTTCTAACGATTCAAAGCATGTGTTTGCATGATCACTTTACTTTCTTTCAAGGATATGTTATATAGATTCTAGTTACACACGTGACAAAGAGGGCAACGATGCACGACGTTTCGCGATCTCTGCGTCAAGTGTCATTTTCGCGCGCGCGCGCGCGCTCGCGCGCACGTGATTCGGTTTCGATGCAACTTACCCTTGCCGCGATGGACGTGGTTGGTTTCTCGAGAAGATCCCACAGCCACTTCTGATATTGGGCACACTTTCCCTCGCCGAATTCCTCCTCCTCGCGCTGCCGGAGCGACTCCGCCTCTTTGCGCATTTCCTCGTGCACGTGCTCTTTACGTTGATGATACTTGTGCTGGCAACAGCTCTCTAGATAGAGCTCGTCGACGCCCCAGTACGCGAGATCGTCGCTGAACGCCAACACGCACATCTCGTCTACCAGGTGGAGCTTGCCGGTGCGATAAAAGTTGAGAATGGAGCTAAAAGACTTGGGATGCCGATCAAAGAAGTACTCGTTGTCGATCAGGGAGTAATCGTCGCATAGCTCAGTGATCGCCTCGTGGGTGTTGCAGTCCCGTAGCCGGCCCAGACGCGTGTGCGGCAATCGCTCGAGGGTGCGCCAGAGCACCTCGTGCTTCACGCCGCCGACGTTGATCGAGACACGCCGGTTCAGCGCCTTCGAACGCATGATCATGAACGGCTCCGGCGGCAGGGACGTCATCGACCTCGAGAAGGCACGTTGCTGCTGCATCTGCAGCGGCAGGGGCGGCGGCGGCGGTGGCGGCGGCGGCGGCGGCGGCGGTGGCGGTGGCGGTAGAGACGGCAGATTTATCGGCGCCACGGAACCGATCGGTCCTACGGACGACGAAAACGGAGCGTAACGGACTTCCTTGTTCGTGCTTCCTCCACCACTCCCTCCTCCTCCTGCACCTCCTCCTCCTCCTCCCATTTCTGCGATTCCCGCGGCACCGACTCCACCGTATCCTATCCCGCCACTCAACCCACCCCCCGATCTAACTCCTGTCGACGCGCCGAACCCGAGACCTCCTCCGCCACCGGTGCAGTCGGTGTTCCCGCGACCGGCTGCACCGGGCTGCTGCAACGTCGTCGAGCCGCCACCCTCGAACACGTAGCCCTGGTCGGTGCTGATGTAGGGCACCGTACACGACGGCGACGACGATGAGAGCGCCGGGCCGGTGACCACGGCGCTACCATTACGTTCCCCGTCCGCCAGTGTGTTGTCCTCGAGCCGTCTCTCGTTCAGCATCGGACGCGCCGAGCGACGGCGGTTTCAAGTCGGTCACCAGCGCGATCGCAAGGCGATTATCCTTCGCGTTGCTCTCGACGCCGATGCTTCCGTTCGCCTGTCTGTTCGCCGAAGACAAGCGGTGTCTCTCTCGTTTTCTTCTTCTTTCTTCTTCTTCTTCTTCGTCCTCCTCCTCCTCGTCCACGGTGTCCCTCTTCAGCTTCATCCGTAAATCGGTCCAGCCCCTTCCGTCGACTCGGTCGACAGACTCTGCCGTATCATAATCTGAAAGATACATCGGAGACATCTAAATGGGTGATGCATCGCGTATAAGAAATATCAATCGTGTATATTACACGTTATATTGCTTTCAATTTTGGAAACAATTTTTAAAATGCAATTTTTAATTTTTCTCAAATGCTTAGATCGAACAGTATACGTAAAATGTAATTAAATCTGTATTTAAGCTACAGATGTGAGATATTTCCTTTGAAGATGAGCAAAAATACTCGTGTTAAAATAGTAAATAAAATTTAGATATACTTTCTTCGTCCTGAATTCATCATTTCAATGTCGTTCTTAATTATAGATAATTAAATCTTAAATGGTTTAAATATTGTTTCTAATGTAACTTGAAATTATAAAATGATTTGAGATGTATAAATATTATGTATAAAAAATTGACGATTTGCATTACACATATATACGCGAAACATACATACATTCCTGGATTTCAATTATCGGAATGCCTATAAAAAATAAGTATAATAAAAATAGATATATTTTATATTTGAACATTTCTCAATTATTTTGATTAAAATGAGATATTTATTTATATGACAATTTTTATATGATAATTTTTTTAATTTTTGATTTGCGGAAAAAAGTGTTGAATATATAATTGATCCGTAATAAATTAAATTGTATTAAAATGAAAAAAATATATCGAGATGTCACATAATAATGATGAGATAATAGATCCGAAAAAGGGATACACGATGATTGTTTCTGCAAATCTTGGTTCTTCTGCGTTTCTTCGAAAGCAAATAACTCTCGAAGAGATGATCGATATAATTCACCACATGGCCCCCGCAAAATCGTAACTTTATTAAAAGCGTTACATCATCGTATCTGTAATGATACTCGCACTATTCGTAACTAACTTAAGCGATCAAAGCCCGCCTATAAAACATACCAAACTTTCTTTCTTTCCTATCTTAAAATCCTTTGTTTAAAACTATATTTTATATATTCCACACCCATAAAGCATACATATATATTGCAATACATACACTCACTCGAATAAATGCTTAAAGTAACAAATATACTACGAGAAAGAAAAGAAAAGAAAGAGAAAGACAAAACAGAGAAAGAAATATTTATTTCAAGCGCTCAACTCCTCAATTATTAAATAAATGACATTACATGGAACTAATAATAAATTAACACTTCAATAATCAATAAATTGCCAAATACAATGTGCACGCACGCGTTTATGTATGTATAAATATTATATCACATATGTGCATATATTATTATGTATGTATAAATATTATATCACATATGTGCATATATTATAATATAACACATATGCTAATATTTATACTTATATAACCATGGCAATTTATTGATTATTAAATTGTTAGTTTATTATTATTTCCATGTAAGTGTATAATATGTACATAAACCGCCAGTATTCCCGAAGGATATTTTACAGCTTTTTGCTATACATATATGTAAGGATATACAGGAAGCGAAGAAACGAGAATCGATCTTTCTCTTCCATCCCTCTCTCTCTTTCTCTTTTTCTCTCTCCAGCAAGGGAGTGTACACCTGACCTGACCCCCGAAGATGAGAGAACGCGACATTTTGATACGATGTAGTACTATATATGTACAGTTCATTTCTGTGTGTGCACATCCGGTTTCAGCGCTTCCGCGACTTGATCCGAAGACATTTGCGCGAAAAATAGCTATTGATCTTTGACCTTTTCGGTCCTGAACAGAATATTGCTTAGAGAATTCCAATACCTTTTACGTAAATTTGCTTATGCTTAATTTCGAATTGTCGTTTGAAAATAATTATATATGATTAATCTCTCTCTAATTATTACGCTCGATATAATTATCACAGACATATCTAGTTAGATTTATATGGAAACTTTTTATAGTAGTACAAATTATTTATGAAAAGACATATTTTTGCGAGCGGTAATCTTGAGTTAGGCAAACATCAGTAATGTCAATTATAATAGAGCATACATACAAGAGTTAAACAAGAAATCCATCAAACATAAATCATTAAATTAAATTCCTTGTATACCCGAATATTTGAGATGTTTCACTATCAGGTGCGAATTTAATAATAAACGATTGACTAATTATAACAATTATTGACATACAGATATAATTTAGAAACTATCCTTATCATCCACATAGATAAAATTTTGTTTTTTTTTGCGACTACTATTTTAAATTTGTGTGAAGAGAGAATTGGAAAATCAGTTCTCAATTCTTAACAAAACGACCTCAAATTAAGAATATTAAACGACGAGGGATGTTCGCGACGTCCGAATATATATAGATCGCGTTTAAGAAATATATTCAACAATTATTCGCGGAATTTGTCATTATTGATGGATCGCACTATTATGGGGCGATTACGTGATATCAACGATCAAATTTCTCATATGGCAGCTCAAGGATTGCGCGACTCGGCATTATTTCAGGAAATTCTTCTCTGGCGACCCTTTATTTTGCGCCTTTATTCGACGTAATGCCTCGATTATTGATTATTATTTCTAAAAGTTATTTGTCTATTTTCTCAGTTCTAGACATAACGAAAATATTTATTTAATAACGTTTTTTGAGAAAAGAATTATTTTCGATGAAATTTTTTCTGCAAATATATACATATATATATTTATAGAAAAAATTTTATCGAAAATAATTCTCTGAAAGATATTCTCTGAAAACAAAACATATTGAAGTTCTCTGAACAAAAAGAAGCATATATATATATATATATATATATATATATATATATATATATACTTCTTTTTGTTCAGGGAGCTTCAACATATTTTGTTTTCAGAGAATATCTTTTATATATCATGCAAATAATCATAAAAAAATAATATAAAAAGAATTGCGAAAAGAGTTTTTTCGATGAGATCGTAAAAATCAAGGAAACATTTTTGTGATACATTTCCATACATTCCTAAAAATCTTGTACAAATATCTCGGAAATGTTCTCTTTTTTGCAATTTTTAAAATACCAGAGAAAACACAAGAGCTCTAACAATTCGAAAAATTTAACGACCAGTGCAACGATCGGTTGCACCACGGTCACGTCGTTTAAATTTTTTGGCGTCGAATCAATGCAACGCTGATGGTTCCCGAGACTCGAAGAAAGGTTCGCTCGCGATTGTCGAAAATTAAAAGAAAAAAACAGAATATTCACCCACAGTCTGTGTTTTCAAAGAACACCTATCAACCTCGAGAGAAAAGGATATATTTGCTTGACGAGCGTTGGATAGGTTTATCTCGAGGCTCGATGTAGTAGGGTAGTTTACGAGCAACAGTAGAATAACGACTGAGATTGTCAGACAGTAGTAAGAGACAACACTAAGCTGGGATCTCATTTACGTGAACCTACACACGATAGATATCGAGTATTTTATTTTAAATCCCGAGATAAGACTCGTTTTAAAATCACGTCGCAATTTTCCTTAATATAATTAAACAACGTATAGTTTTAAAGTATAAAATAAAAGATTTGATCCTGGAGCATTTTTTCACGTTGATATGCCTACTCCAATATTTCGAAGATCTCTTCTTGGATCTTTCATCCTTCTTGCCTCTCTTTTTTCTATAGCCAATTATTCTCTTAAAATCAATGTTTGCAATGTGAAAAGCAAATTTGTTGCTGAAAATCGCACAAACATGTTTTATATGATTGAAAAATAAGTTTCCACAGAAAAATCCTCGCTAATCAATTATTAAAACATATCGGAGAGCACTAAAAGAAGTTATTTTTAAAGATATCATTTTCCGCGAGCTACCACCCGCTTGGAATCATCTCGAACTCAACGTTAATCTCGATTAATTAAACATCTCCATTAGTTCGAGGCTTATAATAACGGGAGACGGGAAGCGAATCACTGACCCGGATTACAAGCGGATCTTGGAACTCGATTTCAAGGGACTCGCTCAAGCCGCACTACGCGCGTTTGACAGATCCAAGGGCGACCAGCTGAGAGCGCGAACGACGGACGGGGACAATCCCAAGCTATCTGGGTCTCACGGTCCGGGAACATTCTTGTTGACGACAACGACGACGACGACTACGACGACGACGCGTGTTGTGCGACCGGTGGTGCGCGTCGCGCGGCAGCTACTATACGGAAATAGACGAGAGGCGTGCGCGAGGCAAGCTAGCGGCAACTTCAGTCGGCAGTCTTCGCGCGATTATCTCTTGGCGCGTTACTCACCTCTCTCTTGCTTCTGCTTTAAACATGATGATCGCTGTCCGGCCGTGGAAACGGCGGGTCGTTGCTTGTCGCGCTGGACTGTCGCATCTCGTCCCCCAGTAAAGTCGCCTCGCGACTGGGGATGTCCGCTTTGGGAATAACGATGACGAACAGTGACGACGATGATGATGACGATGACGACGATGACGACGACGACGACGACGACGGCGACGGCGACGGCGACGACGATGACGACGACGACGGCGGCGACGACGGCGACGACGACCGCACTGACACTACCACTTGTTCCACACCGGGCGCTGCGATCGACGCCCCGTCTATCGATTAAGCGCGAATGTGGGTACGGTTGGGGTACGAATACGAAGGTGCGCGCGATGCTCCGAGAAGAAACGTCCCGTGCCGGAGTACCGGACGCTGGATGATCAGTGGAGGAGACGGGAGACGATCGCTACCGATCGCGGCGACTCGGCCACCGATTTCGGCGAACGAAGAAGAGGAAGAACGAAAAGAAACAGGGGAGGAACCGCGCCCGCGCGCGAAAGAGAGATTCGAAAATCGCACGATTACCACCGGCCCGCTGTCGGCCACTCTTCTTTTGATAGTTTAGAGGTGAGATACAGTCTCTGTGTGCCACTGTAACTGCTGTTGGCGCCGACAGAGGCACTACTTGGACGCGAGCCAGCGGTGCGCCTTGGCTATTATCCCGAGCCACCCTGTGCGCCCCGAGTTGCGCGTCGTCCCCGCACCCTGCTCCAGTGACGAAGCGGTGCTTTTAAAGTGCGGGCGATTCCTCGCTACCTTGCACGACCAACGAGACGCGCGATCGCTCTTGGGCGCAGTGTCACCGCGAGAATGGACGTATTTTTCGATGTTAATTATCGTCCCCTAATCGTTCAATAAATTGCAAAATAATAATATAAGGCTAATTTGTGAAATTAGTAAGATAAGTTATTATTATGTCTATGAAAATTATACGATTTTTCTCACATGGTAATTTGAAACGCGCGTTTTAAATTTTATTTTAATACATTAATATTAGCTGAAGATTTAAAATCAAAAGTCAGAAGAGAGAAAGAGGGAGGATGGAAAGAGAAGGAGAGAGAGAGAGAGGGAGATTTTATTACTTTTAAATTATTTATGAACAATTAATATTATATTAATAATGATTATTATAGTTTCGTCATAATTCCATCGATAATTCGTTTTGTACTAGTCTTAGAAAGAATGCCATGCCCGATCAATGTTTTCATCCCTCTTTTTCCCCTACTCAGTCTTCTTTTTTGGCTTGCGCGATCTCGTACTGTGTAATATCATCAGAATTTTCGACACGAAGCCAGGAGTCGCATCACTAATGTTTTTTGTGAGAAGCGAATCGATAAAGCATCGTATATGCGCGGAAAGAATCGCTTCACGTGTAGTTAATAGTCAGATCGATATCACATCGGAACGAGGTCAATATCGGTCGAAAAAAATTTTAAGGTCGAAACTGTTGGAATATCGAGGCAAATCGCTGCCCGATCGACAGGAAATATATCTAGCCTACCACGAAATCAGGTTGCATTACATTTCCAGATAATGCTGGTTGTTGCCCACACGATCGCATCACCGAAAGAAAGAGAGAGAAAGAGAAAGAGAAACGGTATTTTAGAGAGAAGTGGTATTTTTAGAGACAGCATGGAGGTCGTCACGAATAATATACAGTGATCAATTCTTAATGGCATTTTTGCACATTCGCATAATCGAGTAGCGAATTCAATAATATATAGATTTATAAACATTGATATATATAAAATGTCTAATATTTGTTATAAAGATAAAAAATTAATATATAACACTTACATATAATTTCCTCATTAAATTGATAAGAATTTATTTCATATAAAAAATCAAATTATATTAAAAACCAATTGTTTTTCAAATTCAAAACTCTTATACATACATCCATAAATTCTTTTCAAGAATTAGTAAAAAAATAAACCTCCTCAATTATCGTTATTTTCATCACTTTTTTTTAATACCATGAATATAAAAAAGTATTCAGAAAATTTAAATTAATTTAAATGCTTGCAATTAATGTTATTCAATATTTACATATTGTTATGTATAATCCACAATATAACACAATATAAAATTATCTTAATATATTTCCGAAATTATTATTCTGTTATAATTTCATTACCTGTCCTTAATAGTTAAAATGAAACTCGTTCCAATGTAAAAACTAAAGAGTAATCTGAATTTAAAAAATTTATTTGTATCAATTCAGATGGATGGTGATTAAAAAATATTTAAACAAACAAAAACTTACTTGAAAATATTATTTTATTCTCTCCAGGAAACATGAACGTCGTCCGTTCGGTATCTCTGAACGCAAGTAGTTTGTGTCCAAGGAGTACCTCCCTCGCACTTGTATTGGAGCAATCCAGCGACTGCGATCATAACGCCGTTGTCTATGCAAAATCGCTCATCCGTCGCGTAAAGAGTTGCATTTCTTTCTTTACACATGACACTCATCATTTCCTGCAGTCTTTCATTGCATCCCACGCCACCCACGATCAACACTTCGTTCGATCTCACGTGCGCCATCGCGCGCTCTGCAACATTTAACAACAGTTAAATAAGTAAGCAAAGAGCAAAATCATCAAGTGAATAGTTACCTGTAATTTCAATAAGCATGGCAAACACGGTTTCTTGCAAGGAAAAGCATAAATCTTCAGGAGTAAATTCCTTTGTATCGAGCCATTTGGATAAATGTTCTTCTATATGGCTTAAGATACCAGAGAACGATACATCCATCCCTTTCACAACATATGGTAGTGGTGCCAGTTTCTTACCCCTTTTTGCATCCATAAAATTTTAATTGCATCCAGCATACGAGATTCCATAAGTGTGATCTTGAACGTTAATATTTATCGAGGATTTCCAAAATGAAATCCTAGCAAAACATTAATCAGATATAAAAATTTGCTTACTTTTTTGCTAACTGTTCAATGTTATATCCAGGACTGGGATCATTTGAGAGTTTTAATAACCTCGCGAACCTGTCCAAACAATTTCCTACTGCTATATCGATTGTCTCCCCAAAAATACGATATCTTTGTCGAGAATATGCAATAATTTGAGTGTTTCCGCCAGAAACATACAAAACAGTAGGATTTTCACTTCCAGTAATCAAACGTCCCATCTCAATATGACCAATACAATGATTGACTGCGACTATAGGTTTATTATATAACTGGGCAACAGTCCTAGCTACTAAAGCAGCAACTGTCAATGGCGCTCCCATTCCTGGTCCTTTTGTGTAACAAACAACATCTACATCCTTCATGCTAATCTTTGCTTCATCTAAGGCCTTTTGCAAAACATCTAATATATGTTTTCTATGATGTTGCGCCGTTTCTCGAGGTAAGAAACCTAAGATGATATGTCTAAATTAGCATATTTATATTAGAACTGTTCACAATTTTTATAAATATTTTTAAGTCCACTTTAGACAGCGTTCAACAACAAAATTCACAAGAATTTTATTTATTATTTTATGAAATTTAATGATATATAAACATATATGTATCTTTATATAATTTATACATATATTTTGAATAAAGTATAATAAATTTTGTATTATAAATAAAGTGAATCTTATATTACATGAATGATAGAATTGACTAAAGTAGGCTTGATACAAATCTATTAAGAAATTTTAAAACTGTTAAATTTTGCTCAATAAATAACGTCTTACGTCACATACATTTTGTCATGTATTTATACATGATATATGCAAAAAAATATTATTTTAAGGTTACCTTCTCCCGGTGGAGTAACATAGGTATGTCGCACATTTGACAATACTTGTTGATCGCGAATTATTCCTACGCCCAGTTTATTTGCGCTACCTTCGAATCCGATAGCAATCACCATTTTTATAATTTTCCTATCTCTAATGAATAAAACAAATATTCATTCACACGTATAAATGAATGAAATTATTGAATCAAGTATCACGCAATAGCAATATATATGCACTTATATACAATGGCAGTCACATGGGGTCTGTTCTTTTCAGCTGCACTAGTGCAATTAGTTAGAGTGAAAGAAAGTATGTTTGTCTGTTTCTAACTTATTGCACTAGTGCAGCAGTACAGCTGAAAAGAACAGATCTATGGTTTGCCATTAAGTCGCTATTTCTGTAAGAGAGCATAACTGGACCAATATTTCGAGCCAATTTACAACGCAAGATTTGAAAATTTACTCATCAGATAGTTTGACCAATCAGGTAAAGGGAATACGAATTTCTTTACTTTGATTGGTGAAATCATTTTACTTTTACCAGCTTGAAAAGTGAAGCTTTTTCGAGCTTGAAATACGGGAAGAATAAAATTGCGACTAATTTCATATAAAAAAAAGTTTCCTAAAACATGCCCTAAATTTTTTATATTTAAAATTATATTAACATTATAGAAATATTAATATTTGAGTGAGACGCAACAATTCCACCTCTTCATGCATTGGTAGAGGGTATGTGTAATTCTGTCATTTTGATTTTCCTGAAACAGAAAAAAATAATTTTTTAATCACGTAAATGTCTTTTGATGCTAAAAATGAGCGTCGAGTGTCCCACGAATTTGTGTTTTAAATCGAGCGTCACTTTATTTCGACGCGTAGATTTTTCGATCCACAAAATAGCTCGACCAATCATGAATAGGTATTCGCGGCGACGAACATCGAGTTCGCTATCTATGTCGATCTTCGTGCTCGACGGTTGAGCTTGGGAGAGAAATCGTCTCCCAAGTCCATTGTGAACATATTCGACGTTACGCGAGAACGAATCTGGCCGGAACACGTGCCAGAAAATGCAAGTTATCGGGTCGTCGCGTTGAGAAAAGTGAGTGTCCGTTCGTCCCGCGATACACGTGGGCGGCTTCCGGCAAAAGAGAAAAGAAAAAGATAAAGTATTCGAGTCGGTCGCGTCGCTTGTTAGATGGGCGATTGATTTTTGGTGTCGCGCGAGAAAACGTACATCTCGACGTGTACGAATCTCGCGATTCGCTAGTAGTTGTGTGACGGCAAGCATTAATTAAGAATCGATGCTAGAGGGGGAGAGAAAGAGGGGGTGGAATCTGGTGCGCGAATGTGTGTATGCAGCAAGGAGTCGACAGGAGAGAGAAAGAGAGAGAGTGAGGACACGCACGAGGGAGAGAGAGAGAGAGAGAGAGAGGGAGAAAATGGGAGCGAGGAGGCGCCGTCAACGTTCGCTTTTACAAAATGACGGAGCGAAAGGGACAGACGCGGGTGCGCGCGCGCTCTCTTTGCCGGTTGCTCTCTCTCCTCGGGCGGTTCTCTCTCGAGAACGCATTCCGCGACACTTCCGCGATCTCGTGGCGTTACCCGGGTAGACGCCCCCCCCCTCGCGGTGTCTTGCGTTCACGCGCGCGCGCGCGCGATAGCGCCGGTCTCTCAAAGTCCCCCGCGCGGGAGCTTTGACATACGCGGAAACTGTGTGGCGTCATCTCCACGCAGTTGAGAGAGAAAAAAGTGATGTTGTGTTGTCTCCCTCTGATAGGGATAGATATTCATAGAAGAGATAAAGAGAGTAGAATGTCGCGTCGCGAGTGACCGCTTTCGTTGTGACGGGAAAGCGAGGATCGCGCGTTGTCCGCTCGCGAGTCGAGTCGGCCGAGTCGTCCGTTTCCTCGGCCGAATGTCGGGTTGTAAGAATTGGCGCGCTACACCCGCCGTCGCGAGTGTCGCCGGCGCGGCTCGTTACCTCGCTGCCGAGGAGGACTCGCGGTTCGTTCGCGCGTTTCCGGCGCGAGATCGCGATCGACCGCCGGTCGCGACGCTCCCGGTTCGCTCCTCCTCGTGGAAGGCCGTTGACGATCCCTCGCGCGCGCGCGTCATTGTCTCCGAGTTCCCCGGGAACTCCGTCCGATTCGCGCGCGGAAACCTAACGCATGGATCTCTGGACGTGCGGTGAGTGGCCGATGGTAAGGCATCGCATTGTCCGGCGATGTGCCCGCCTCTTGAAGCGGGGACGCATTACGTACCATAACATTTATGTGAACTGTAGAAAAGAAAAGAAAAAAAAAAAAAAGAAACCGGAGAAAAAATCCCCCGAAACACACATTAGAGAATGCTAACTTTAACATCTTCTCTCGACTCGACGACGCTTCATACCAGATTTGTGACATGTAGAATTTTTCACTTAGGCCAGTCGATTCTAAGGACGAGTGCTTCTGGTACTTCCTTCTGGTCTTTTGCGGCGCCCGGCGTATTATCCTTATGGTTGCAGCTTTGTCTACGGAGCATTAACATTATTCGTACCTGCACTGCGCTCGATATCTGGATTAATTAGATGTTCTTTGCTGTACCTTTGGTCTTCCATCTTGCATTTTTACTATAAGGTAAATTTTGATAACAATTTTGATAACAATTTTAAATAGATCCAAATTATAATACAACGATAATGACCTATACAAATAAATATGAATTTTCAAGCATTAGTGGATGTGCTAAAAAAATACTTGAAATATTCACCTCAGTTTTCTTTTGCCTTTGAATGATTATCATTGTCTGAAAAGAATCTAAGTTAAAGGTCAAAATTAATTCCACTGGAAATGAAAATATAAGGAAAATAAAAAGTATAAGATAAATGTAGTATCACAAGTATTTTGTAATGCATTTCCAAAGTCTCATATTTCTTTATCGTTATACTCTAAAATAAATTGTAAATTACTCCAAATCATTATTAAAATATCGAGTTTTATTTGCATATATTTTATATATTATTGCCAAATTTACCTGATATATATTTGTATACATTTAATTAGTAATTAGACTATGATCTTGTAATAATATACCATATTTTACAAAATGTAAATGTTTATTACTTATATTTCAGTATGATTTGATAAATTTTATTTTGATTGTACGCACTATAATAATTCAACGTGAAATGAAGTAACATAATTAAATTTCTGTTACTAGAAATGTCGTCCCGAGATTATGACAGAAGAAGAGGTAATGGCAGCAGTAGCAACTCGAGCAGATTGCGAATGGACACGAGCGTGTCGCAGCCCAGACCACATGGCGAGAGTTCTAGCAAGCGAAAAGAGATAGATAATGTGATGCGGAAAGCGCGCGAATCGCAATCGAGCTACTGGAACAAGAAGCTGTTGGAGGCGGAAGAACGAGATCCGAATAGGTGGCGTCACAGCGGATACAAGGAGTTATACGTCGGGGGTACCGGCGGCAGCGGCGAGCCCAGCAGAGGACACCCCAGGAGCCCGAGAAGTCCTCGACCTCGCAGTCCCCACAGTCCGCGACCGCGCAGTCCTCGTGCGAGGAGTCCGCGATCGCCACGCGAGCGTTCTTCCCGCGAGCACAATAGAGGCAGACAACCGACCGCTCGTAGCCCCAGCACAGGCAGCACGTGCTCCGACAGATCGTGTTCCGTTTGTTCGCCGAAAGAACGACGACGCGTCGCGCCGCTGTCCCGTTCGCGTTCGCGATCGATCACACCGGTACGAGGTCGAGCGCATCCTAAGGAAGTGGTTGCTTCCAGTTCGCGAGCTTTACCACCGCGTGCTAGACCGCGATCGCCGCCGCTACCGCGTCCACGTACACCACCACCGGCACCTCAGCCGCCGCCGCGTCATCAGAAGGATTACAAGACTCTCAAGGAGAAAGAAGCCAAGATTCGCCGCAAAGAAAAACATCATAGCAGGTTGCCGGAGGATCCACGAGTACCAGATCCCATCCCATTGGTAAAATGATCGTTTACTTTTTTCCTTTCTCGAAAGAGGCTTTTGTAAAAATAAATATATTTTATGAAGAAGGAATTCCTAACGTAGATACATTTGTATACTATATACATGGTAGTATACAATGTGGAACAAAATATAAAAAATTGTATTAAGCTTTATGTCCTTTTAAAGTAATATACGATATTAGGAATACTCAAAGTATTCAAATTATGCAGATGCGTAAAGCAGTCAAAGTGGAAAAAACACACACGAGTCATGGAGCACCACAAATGATGCGACCTCCACCGGAATCGTCGCCTAGTGACGATAGCGACAGTTCCTCCACTACATCCCACGTTGGGCCGCCGAGAATGACATTATCTGAACGGTATTTCGCGAAACCACATTATTCAAGATATATAACAGCGATATAAAACTGATAAATTTACAATACATTGCATCTTTAATTTATTCGAGATTAAATGAGGATAGATTTTTGTATATATTTTTTTATACAGATTTGGTAAAATGGCACAGTGGAGCGTGGATCGTAGAGACATGGAAAACATGCGCATCACGAAAGACGGCGAGAACGCGATGAAGGTCGTTATAGAGGGTGAGGAGAGGATTGCGCGTCTAGGATACGATTCGCCACCACCCGGTCATTATCCCGAGTCGCTTCTGGCGCAAGGACCGAGAGGTTTCGAGGGTTGGGACGATGTGCGCGTCCGTTACGACTATTATAAAGCTAGAGGTTACCTTCGTGACCTCACTCTTGATGATTATATCAAGTGGGAAGAATGGTGGTATAAGTATCAGGAATGGCTCGAAGCCGAACGGTTCTATGAGCAATGGGCCTCATCGTCGAATCGTCCTTCTGGCGGCAGTCGCAAACGACGTGGGCGACGCAATAACACCGCTCACTAAAATATGTATGACAACAATTCTACTACGGATTATGCTGAGATATATCATATCTGTATACTTAGAGTATGCAGGAAAAATGTATGTATAAGCGCTCTATATGTATCGTAATAAAAAGTATAAATGTGAAAAAAATTTAATTATTTTGGAGAAAAATATATGTTAAATGATTCCGAAAATATATTAAATTGAGTAATGCTTTTTTATTTTCGGGAGATACAAATATTTAAAATTCATAACGTCTTGATTTAATATATCTAATGTTACATTTATATAGAGAGATTACATAAAAGTATATATTAAATGAGTAATTACCATATTTATATTTTATATACGATTTATATGTAACACAGACTAAATAATTTCTTTTAATTTTTTGTTTGCCATTATTAATAATGTTATATTGAGGACAAAAACTATTATACGATTGTTATTTGGAATTTAATCAGACATGTTCTCTATGAATAAATCGTAAATTAGTTTCTAATATTTTTCACATTTTGTTAGATAAATTCATGTAATATCTGAATATTAATTATACTTTATAAGATTGTAAGAAGATTAATTTTGTAACCATCTGTTAATGAAACTTCTATGCAGATATTGATCAATATATATTATGTAATTTATTGACAAGTGTCTTGCATTTGTTGAAAGTATAATAAACATCTTAACACTATCATATATCTGCAAAGAATTAAAAAAAAAGTTTGTTTTTTCTTTAACTTTCCTGTTTCATCTATTTGTTATCCATTCTTATTTAATTTTACCTCGATAAATTTTCTCAGAACGTTCATATTAATAGATTTTAATGAAAAAAAATAAAATGGAGCAAAATATCAAATCGCATAGTTACGGGTCTACTCTTATAGTTGAGACAAAAAATATCTCTCTCTGTCTCTATCGATCTCTGAACGCGCAATACAGGGTCGCGTTTATTAATATAAACTTTATATAGTATAGAACTATATGGATTTCATTTCTATTATTAGAGTTGCGTTCAAAAATCTACTCATCCATTAGAGCAGTTTTTGATTGACCAATCAAGACAGAGGAATGTTTTTGCTACTTCTATTCTGTTTGGTCAATCAAACGCTATTCCATTCGTAGTAAATTTTTGAACGCACCTGTACCAAGATAAATGTTCTACGTTCTACGAAATGCGACGCGGGCGGAATGGACATTATCAGGTTTCCCTTTACTTCGTACTCTTTGCAGTACGTTAACTAACGTCCTTAGACAAATTTGTCGATATATCCAACTTATACATGGCAATATTGTAATAATAATTACGCAGTTGTAAAGGAGAAACAATTGCAGAAGCGTGATATTCGTTTGATATTACACTCGAAATGTCGACAGATCACAAAGGTGGAAAAGGTTACACTCCTTTACCGCAGAGTATAAGCAATACCGATACCGAGGATGAAGAAGAACGTTTAACTCGACCTAATCATATTACTTATCAGATCGACAATACTGCGACAATAGCTGTAAGAAATATTAATAATTAATATATGACAAATATTAATAAATAAATATAAAAAATATACCTGTCAAAACAATGTTTATAAAATTTAACTTGAGTCTTCAAAGTTAAAATATCATTAAAGCAAAAATCTATATAAAATTCAGAGAATAAGATTTTATATTATTTAAATTTAAAGATTGAAAAGTATATCTTGAAATTTAAATATAAACCTTATAAATTTACATTGATATATATAATAATTTTTATACATCATATTTAACAGATTTTGTATCTAACAAATGTATTGAGTTTATTTGTATATATTAGCTAAATATTTTGCATATATTTTTATAAAAAAATATATGTTAGAAGACTCGACTATGACTATTGATATACTTGTATTACTTTAAATTCAAAATTTTGTTCAGGAATTACATTCAGGTCATGAAAATGGCATGTTTTGTCCATTGGATGAAACACAAAATCTAGGAAATAGCACAAGAAGTAGACAAAACACAATTAAATGTTATCAGGATGATATACCGGTAATGATAATTGAAGAAAGTGAACAGAATGATTTTTGGAAAAGAAGAGATATGTCACCAATAAGGCGGTTCTGCCTATTTGCGTCTATACTATTATGCATTGTTACAATAGTTATTTTTTTGTATGTATTACCTTGTGACAGTTCAATGATTTGTCCACCAATTATTGAATCACAATCATCTATATCATGGGATAAAACTCTACAAGATGTTGGTAAGTTTATTATTACTGTAAACTATGCATACTTGTATATAATATTTTCAATTCTTTTTCTCTTTTGAAATAAATAATTGTAAAAATATGTACAATTATTCATATTGCATGTGATCTACGTTAAGTATTACTAATTATTATTTCATTAAATGTCAAATGTTTGATACATTATCTAGTATAAAATAATTCAAAATGTTTTTTTTATATTATTAAATATACAGAAATACATGGGCCTATTACTACAGTACCTGGATCTCCATACAATCTGATATTTCTTCTACGTGGCGAACAATACAGAGAAAATGATACAAAGAATACAATGATACAAAGACAAATACCTCCAGAAGGAGGAGGAGTTATATCAATGCAAGGGAATAGTGGGTTGCCACTATGGTTGGTTCCATTAAAAAAATCACCTCTTATTATAGATTGTGCTAGTATTGATATTGATCAATCTGGGAAACCTGATTGCATTGTCGCTGGTGAACAAGGCCTGCTTGTTAGTATAGAACCAATTGCTGGAACGATTCATTGGAGTGCCACAACTCATACATTTCCCAAATTACCAATTATTCTACCAGATATTAATGCAGATAATGTTGAAGATTTATTAAGTGTAGCAGTAGATGATGCAAATGTATTGTACCTTGCTTTTCTATCTGGCAAGACTGGTCAATTATTGAAACAATATTCAGTCGATAATTGCACTTCTATTGATATATATAATCTTGTCTCTAACAACCAGATACTTTATAATTGTTATGATGGCAATGGAAAACGTATGTATGCTACAAATATATACTTTATATTTTAAATTTTAAAATGTCTATATATTATACTGTTATTAATAAGTGCTTATTTGTTGCAGCTGTGTCGAGAGCCATGACTTTGAAACTTTTATTCCATAATGTAAAAATGCAAGAAATATATAGAAAAAAATTTATAGCAGAATTAAAATCAGCACGATTGTTTGAGATAGTAAAACAATATGATAAGAAATATAGTTGGAAGCCTACACCTTATCACCATTTGACTATAGAAAACGAAGGAGTATGTCCAGGCCAACTTTGCCGCGCTAGTGTAAATTTAACACTGCAAAAATTGACAAACGAATCGATAATCATTTGGGATCACGTGAGTTCGAACGCGTTTGCATCAAAGCCAGTATTTTTAATGACTTTGGGTAAACCTTATACTTTCGGATTTACCATTAAATTTTGGCAATGGATAGATTTATTATCTGACCACACAGAAAAAGCGACTGTTACAGAGCAAAGGCTTGTAGAAAGAGTCCTAATAGTTCTTGTAAACTACACAGATGTTCAAGCTATTAATGCTAGTCAAAGTGATGTAACACTAATGTGCCATGGATTTGATTGTCAACCAAATTTAAATTCACGAAATCAATTTAGCTCTATTTCAATCGAATACATCAATAACAATGAATTTCCGGAATTAATAAGCTATTGGTCTTCATACAATGTAGATTCAACGAAAGGATTGACATCGAAAATACAAGTTATAAAAATGGATTCACTAATGTCTAATTTAATACATGAAGATGTTTAGAATTTTATCAGATGACTTTCAATCATTATATCGCGTTCTGTAATATATTCGCATTTTGTTGTTGAATAATTTATAATTTTACTATTACAGCATGCAGTAATCCCTGTTAAAATATTTTTTTGTAATCAAAATATTGCAAATCATAGATTAATTTGATAGTATAAAAATCTGTTAGTTTTTTTCTGTTTTTATCATATTAATTAATGATTACATTGATGAAATGATTATATTAATGATTACAATGTAATTAATGACATTTTATTATATTTATTAGTTCCTAAATTTATACATTGTATGTACTTATATTTGTACTTTGTAATTTAAAATTGAGTCAGAAAAATATGTGTATAGTAGCAAATTATTTATTGTGAATTAAGTTTTATTTTTTTTTTGTATTATACTTGCAATGGTGCCTTGAATCAAGTTGTATATACTTATTATGCATATATTTATCTATATATAAAGTATGAACAAAATTTTTATGTTTTAACCAAGTATATTCTTTGAGAGCTTAAAAACGTTAAAGAGTATATTTTTCCGCCTAAATAGTTTTAGAATGTCTACATTTTTTACGAATTTTAATATAAGTATGTAAACATTAATTATAAAATATGAGTGTTTCATACATATACAAGCAATATCGCGCAGTATTATGAGTTAGATTATTATTGTGTCTTCTTCAACATTAATTTTAATTCATTGAACCTTAAATTTTCAGTATTATTAATTTAGTATTATTAATCACTTATTTGATAGATTGGAAAATAATTGGTAATAGAATTTATAACAATTATTACAAAAAACCAAAATATTTATTCAAAACAATGAAAATATATGTATGTATGTGTGGGTGTATGTATGTTTGTGATATTTTAATTTAATAACAAAAGTATGTCACAAAAACAAATTAAAAGTAGTGCAGACATTAATTTAGATTAAGTTCACACACTTGACAAAGATATACTATCGATAAGGAAGTTTGAATATTATATGTTTGAATATTAAAACAATCATAATTGTATCAATGTTGCTTGCTTCTTTAGAAAGAGAGTGTGAGCAGAGCAAGAATGAGAGTAAGAGCAAATGTTTGTTTATGTTATGTATATTAAATCTAATATACAAATATATCTAGTTTTATTTAACATATAATTATGTTATCAAGGATTAAAACTTATTGCAACAAATAAGATAATGCAACAAAAAAATGTAAGAAATAGAAACATGAATTTTGATTTTATCTTACATAAAATAAAAAGAAAATTAAATACAATGTGAGTGAATTAATTTTTATGATACTTTAAATAAAATATTCCCAATCTAAAATATAATATCGAAGATTTCTCTTTCACAGAGGAATGAAGTCTCAAATTGCAACTTTACAAAAACAAGAAAAAATGTTAAAATTTGTATCTTGCATAAGAATGTAATTTTCATTTTGAACAAGGCATTAGAAATATTTCCAGATTTACAAAATACTAATTCCTGATTTTGACATTGTAATTTAGTATTGAATTTGAGAATCGTTATCGAATTGATTTGAATAAACTCAATTACATATAAATCATATTATTTATTATTATGATTAATGAACTTGTTATTTTAGATAAAAATTTTAAATTATTTTTTTTATAACATTTCTATCTTTGTATTTACTAATGCACCATAGTCTAACAATATCAATATAACAAAAATATTTCACTAAAGATATTACATTTTGCGATTTTTACAATAATTAATTAGATGTTAATTTAAAAAGATCAACCAATTCATACTTCATTTTTTAAATAATTATTTTATGCTGAAAAACATTTTATTATATGCAAATTATGTAAAATTATTATATACAAATCTAAATTAAATTTAAAATTTCAAAAATTAGCGGGCCTACGTTTCTGCGCATGCGCAGAAATTTGTCTATTTACTACGTTATTTCATTGGCCGTATTCAACGGACTCAACAATTGGACAACATTACTAGATTTTCCAACGTAGTTCGATGCTGATTGGTTGGACCTGAAAATAGAAACCAATCATATTTGATTGCTATTTATCGGTTGAGTCTGCTGATTGAGATATTATTTCTATATTGTTTCTTCCTCTTGTTGCGCGCGCACGAGCGATAATAATTATAGTATTCACAATACTCAACAATGGGCAGAGATATCAAATTACAAGCGCAAAAAAAATTTGAAACAAATAAATGTTCACAAAAATTGAACACATTCATTTGTCGTCGATTTTTCATTGATTTCATGTATGTACATGTGTATGTGTATATATCTTCGATTTATTAGTCGTTCGTGTGAGAATTTCAACATTGGCTGCGTTCAGCAGGAAAGATGCTTTGCGACTGTATAAAATTCGTGAATTTGATTGGTGTATACTCTTAGATTCAGCTAAAATTAAGAGCATATACCAATCAGACTCACGAATTTTACAACCGATGTAAAACAGCTTTTTCTGCTGAATGCAGCCATTCTTGCCATCAACTGGTATAAAGTATTGCAAATAATTTAACAATTCAAAGGAAGCGAGTAAGGAAGAGAGAACAATAAAGATGAGATGAGGAAAAGAGAGGCGATAAACGATTGTATTGTACTGTATCGCAAATGAATATATAAAATTCTGTATTAGAACTTGAATCCGGGAACCTGTCGGGAAGCTGTCACTTTGCCGCCTCAGCCACTCTCCTTTAATTTGGTTGTCACAACAATAGGTGCGCATATATGTCATCGACATAAAAAGTGTTAAGAAAATATTTATGTTTATATTTATATTTTTAGAAATGGCGACATATACTCCAGGGGAATATGTCGATATGATTATTACATACGGAATAGCCGAAGAAAATTCCAATGACGCGGCTCGTATTTACGCGGAGCGATTTCCTGATCGTGACCAACATCCGGACAGTAAGACAATTTTAAGGTGTGTTAAACGTGCAAAAGAAACAGGAGATCTAAGAGTCTCAGAGCGGGAAAATGCTGATGCCGACGAAGAAAGAATTCTACGAGAGTTTAAAGAACATCCCAACAGCAGTGTACGTGGTGTGGCTGAGAAGCTTGGTGTCTCACGATACATGGTGCATCGTATTATACGTCAGAACAGAATACGTCCATCTGCTGAGTAGCGAGTACAACTTTTGGTGACACAACAACTCGCTTCACTATGCCAGGAGAATCTCTTATTTGCATTGCTACATAACTCTGTTCATAAGTTTAACCCTATTGCGAGATGGTTCTGCACAAAAACTATTGATATTTCATATGCATAAACAATACCAGATTGAAAATTTCAAAAGTTAGCATACTAATTTTTACTACTAATTTTTAATATTAAGCTAATCAAATATTTGATATGCATTGATTTGAAATGTGTTTTAAGCATATTATGACTGCAGACATTTCATCTATCACACTATAGATTTGTTACTATAAATTTGTTACTATAAATACTTAGAATAAGGAATTTAAATCAATAAGAAAAATAAAATTAGAAGTAGAGATAGATGTGGAAAAAAATATCGCGGTTTTCTCTTTTGTTCAGGCTTTTAAAATTCAACAAAGAAATGGGAACATCTCATCTACATATACAATCTTCCAGTCATGCTATATTTTGCAACATCACTCGATACACCGGATGTTAAGAAATTCTAATATGAAACTTTAATATAAAAAAATTTATTTTATGAGAACTCGACTTTACAGTGAAATGCTAAGTTTGTTTTGAAAAAATTTTTTAAATATGAAACAAGAATTATGAATTGATCTTTATTATTTTTAATCATATGATCTCGATAAAAATAGACTTTTACATGCTAGGCAACGGGTAATAAGAATAATAACGAGGAATAAAAACTATTCATAGAAACAGAATAGGTTAGTCTATTTTCTGTTGCTTAACATTATGCAAAAGCCTTAATCAAGCATGAAGTGAAAATCCATCCTTATTTCTCTCGCGCTTTTATTCACACGAATTGGCTGATTTTTAAAATTAATATTATATTTAATTAAAAATAACTATTGTGAAAATCGCAAAATGATAAAGGACTTTCGTACTCTGTTAAATCTGGTCTATCACGCGACGGATGAGATAAAGTCATTAGATTAACAAAGTACCGCAATTTTGATCTCAATAAGATAAGCTGGAGCAAAAATGGCGTCCGATAGTATAGATATAGGCTGTGATTGTTGCATTTCTCCACGCAACAACCTGGCATTTTTGATATTTTCTTCTTTTTCTGCGCAACAGAAGGAGTTTTCTCATCTCACACACAACAGGATACAGGACAAACCAGGATCAAGGTTAGAAAAATTGCACTTAGTATAGATAGCTACACAAAGTGTGCACTATCGGACGCCATTTTTGCTCCATCTTATCTTATTGAGATCAAAATTGCGGTACTTTGTTAATCTAGTGACTTTACCCGCGAGAATGTCAAGGTTCGTTCGAACGCGTGACGCGCGTAAGCATAATACACGCATGTATGTGCGCCAACAGCTCTTTTAAGAAAATACTCAGGACTGAAACAGCTTCACCAACTGGTCAATTGACGAGTTTTTTGTATCAGTGATTGGTAGAACTGTCTCATATATGAAATAGTTGAATTGAACTTTTTTGAAAAGTTTATTCGTCGTTGTCGCGATATTAACGTCTGAAATAAGTGGAATATATTCGTAAGTTATATACAATTTTATTATTAATAAATAGTTGATTGCTCTCGAAATACGATACTCGATTATACGATAGGAATCAAAATCATAAATTATTACTTTGTTGCAATCTTTACGAGCAATGATTATTCTTCTATTTCTTTTCTATCCTAATATATATGTGTACACACACACACACATTTAGAATTCTAATATAATAAATAAATATTCTCTCTGATATCATTTGATCTAAATATAATTTGATTCAGAACGCGCAATAAAACGATCGAATAAAAATCGGATAATTAACATAATGGAAATATATATTTTTAAAGTTATATACAAGTGTATTTATATACAAGTATATTTTTAAAGTCACACACACACACACACACACACACTCACTCACTCACACGTACACTAAGAAAAAAAAGTTGTTAACTCGACTAAACCGTTTAACTAAATTATTATTTTTTAAATTAAAATATTGAAATATTTAAGTTAAATAAATGTCATGTTAGATTTATAATAGTTAAATATTCCAGTTAAAAAGATAATAATTTAGTTAAATGGTTTAGTTAAGTTAACAACTTTTTCTTTTTCAATTAGTCTTTTCTCTGTCTACTATTTGATTGTTTTATTACGCTTTTACAAGGTCAGGTTCTATAATGTAACTTTTAATTTTGTATTTCATATGAAATTATTATTTTAAACATAATAATTTTCTTTCTTTGCATTTCTATCATGAATAGACATTTCCAACCTTTACTAAAAAAACTAAAAATATCCCTCAATTCTTTCTCTCTTCGGACAATTTATTTACATTTATATATAATTCTCTTTATTCTTTTAAAAATGAACATCGAGAACAAGGTACACGAGTATTGTAAATGTCAAAAAATGATCGCGCGAATATTATAGATGTGAATATATAAAAATAAATGCAATATACTATGAATTTTCTATGTTATATATTGAATCGAAATTGCACAAAAGAGGAAAAGAAGAACAAGCCTATGAATAGACATTTCCATTTTTTATTAAAAAAAAAATTAAAAATATCTCTCAATTTTTTCTCTCTTTCTTCGGGCAGGCCTACATATATGACCAATATGATTAATTGATTCCATCTTTATATATTTATCATTATGTGCTATTAATTAAAGCCGTAGACAATATTCAGAAATCAAAGTTGTGCGAACGTTGCGCGCAGGAATGGCCATGCGCAGAAACGAATGCGCACTGGTTCGGCCGCCATGTTGGCGCGTGACTGCTACGTCACTGCTACGTCACTGCTACGTCATACGCGTCATACGTGACTCGGAGTCATACGCAGTTACACGGATCGTCGTACGTCCGCATTTTTCGTGTCTTTTAACCGTTTTTAAACGAATATCGCGAGTGAACGAGCGTCGAAAGTGTCCAAGGATGATCGCGCGACTTTTATAGTGTGTCGATGGAAACGCGCGATAGCGATTTTTGACGATATTCAGTGATGGCGTCATCGCGAAGATGGAGCGAAGTTGCGTCGCGTTATTCGCGCCCTTGATGATGATTATCGGATGCGAGCGAGTATCGGGAGTGCGGAATACAGTGTCGCGCGTTCGCGTTGATGATATCGTGTGAGTTTGTGCGCATCAAGATCGGAATTGGACGTCCCGAGGCGAGCGAGTGGAGCGGCCTGTGTGGAACAGCCGGTAAACGGTGAGTAGATTTGATTTATAATATTTGCGTGACAATTCATGCTCATTCGACGCTTATACAGCATCGCGATGTCTCGAATTACGTTCGAACAAATCGGCGCCGCATAATTCGATGCGATGCCGTGCAATTCAAATAAAGTCGATCGCGTGAAGATGATTAGGCTAGAAGCGATTTCAAATTTATTTTGTATACGCGCAGTGCTGCACAGCCTATCTCGTAGGTCTGCCAACTGTACGATAAATTTTTTCGATCTAACCTAACCTAACCTAACCTCTCAATGCTTTGGATGTCGAATGTAAACACAAGCGTATGCTGCCTGGATTTTATCATGCTTTCAAAAATAATATTTAATTATTTAATTAATGTATTACATTTTATTACGTAGTATATTAATCGTATTAAATGTGCGACGTACAGTTTTACACATTTTAATGAGAAGCATATAATATAATTGGTTAAGTTAGATTAAATTAAAACAAGCTGCTGTGATTAATTTAACGTAATAGGATTAATTTAACGAATGTGCAGCTATTGAAGTTACATGATTGTGGACACATTTTTAAAGTAATCATGAGTGTCTTATCTCATCTTGATTATATGAAATTAAAATATAAAATATTTATGTATTCCACATTAACGTTATTCATTACAAGTACTATATTACTTTTCTTATATCTCAATCATATTTTATCGATGAAGCTTTTCATATATCGCAGACAATATGATACTGTGTGTGGAATTTTACACAGGTAATACATGGCACAAAAATAATTTGTTCTCAAGTATTGTGCGCATTTCTCAAAAATAAATCAAATTAAATTATTTTAAGTAGGATCCAAAAATCACTACATTGCCAGGATTGTATCTTATTATAACTGCGATATTATCACCTTTTAATATGTATGCGCAGTACTACATACATAAAATATATAAATTTATTTGAAACGTACAGAAATCTTTATCTTATTTATAATATTTATGATATAAAAGAAAATTGCAACTCTAATGAAACAGAGCGGTGGAATAATTGGTTTATACTTATGCTGGTCTACAATATTTATCCTTTTTTCATTATTAGATTTTTGGTGCTTTTTTTATTATACAGATGTTATCTGTAAATATAGTACTTGTAATGTTGCTTCTGTATCACTGTAAGCACACAAAAATGATAGCATTTGCAGGTAATTATGTTATACTTATATATCATAAGAAAGAGAAAATAAAATTAAAGTTGAATATTGAATGTGCTTTAAAGTAAATTTCATCTAAATAAATAAATGCATAAATGTGCGCCTCACATGCCTCATGAAAAAAATACATAATATTAATTTTTATGTATTATTTTTAGATTTTTATTCTTTTAAATTCTCTAGATGCACTTTTCATTTCTCCTCTCTTTCTTTCGAACTACTAAATATAGATCTATCATTTTTAATATACATCTGTCATTTTTAGTGTACATTATTGCAGTAAGTGGAATAATGAGCAAATTTTTTGGCACATTTAAAATGTACAGGAAAGTTTTATCTGATGCGTTTTTTTCAATAGAAATATCTGAAAAAAATGCATACGTCTTTTTTAATCTTAGTCTTTCTAAATAAAAATTAGAATAATAAATTTGCAAAGTAATTTGCTTTAATATATTTTTATTGCAACATATGAAGCAAAGTACTCAAGGTGCATCACTATGAAAACATCGATAGAATAAAAAATACATCGCATACAAAAAAATTAAAATATTTACATTACATATTTGATATTTCTGCAAATATTTCCATTATTTTGAGATTGATTTGTTTCATGATATATTGCAATAATTAAAGTATGATTTCTGATATAATCTGTCATGAGACTGCAGAGAAAGCCAGCTTTAATTCTTTATTTTGTTCAATATTTTTAATAATATAATAATTAAATTAAAGTTCTATGAAAATATGCTTGAAATACTAAATAAAAAAGATTGTTTCTTATGTACAATCTTATACAGTTTAAGTGAACAAAAAATTATTGTTAATAATATACATATATAAATATACATATATACATATATAATATAATATACATATATAATATACATATATAAATTGATAATTAAATAAAACAATTAATTAATTAATCGACAATCCACGTTTTTTTTTAGCTTTATGTCTAACATATATATATATGTATATTTTTATAAATAAAAAATGTTTCTTTCTAATATAAATTAAATAAAAAGTATAATATGCCTTTAAATACTTTATATACATACCTGTTGCAATAAACCAATAAAGAATGCTTTTACATTCCTCCTTGTACTTTGGCATACATATCCTTTATGCCAATTATCTCGCAACATGCTTTTATCGCATGATGACAAACAAGCCATTATCCTTCATGAATTTTCTTTACAAATATTTTTATATTCTCAAACTGTGTAAAGAAATCATATAACACTGAAAAATACAAAGTGATATTAAAAGAGAAGAAATAAATTTTATATTATATAGTATTGACAATTATTTTCTTACCAGTGTATTCCTTATATGTATATAAGGAATATACATTAGTCTTTGACCAGCCCTATTTTTAACCGTTTTTAGGGATGCTTTGGCTTTTGATAACGTAAATCCAGCTAATCCATTTCCATTTCCAGTTACTATAAAAGAACTGATTCTAGTCTTACGTGCTAAATTACCGGTCATACAAGTTATCATTTTGTTTTGCAAAATCCAGGTTTCAAAACTTTCAAATGTATCTGCAGAAAACAAAGATATTAATTATATAAGATTCTAATATTTAGAACTGAAACATCAAAAAAAAAAAATTGAAAATAGGCATCGTATCACATGATTTTTGTATGTATGTGATTTAAGTGTGCACTGGGTCTGTTCTTTTTAGCTGCACTGCTGCACTAGTGCAATAAGTTAGAAAGAGATAAACATACTTTCTTTCACTCTAACTAATTGCACTAGTGCAGTAGTGCAGCTAAAAAGAACAGTCTCACTATTTGCACTATCGGACGCCATTTTTGCTCCATCTTATCTTATTGAGATCAAAATTGCGGTACTTTGTGAATCTAGTGACTTTAGGGTGAGAATTATTATCGGACACCTTTTATATAACACTACTGCGCATGCGTTAAAAATTACGCACGCGCTATTATGGGTCTGTTCTTTTTTGCTGCACTAGTGCAAGTTAGAATGAGACAAACATACTTTCTGTCACTCTAATTAATTGCACTAGTGCAGCAGTGCAGCTAAAAAGAACAGTCCCTATATATTTTGTACTCCTAAAGGTGCAATTTCATTGACGCTAAAAAGTAGCGTCAACCATTGGTTGAACAAAGAAGCAACTACTTACTTCTTTGTTCAACCAATGGTTGACGCTACTTTTTAGCGTCAATGAAATTGCACCTTAACTCCTACTCTTCTTTTATCCTATGTTTACGATGTGACAGGATCATTTTGCCGAAGTATGACTGGGTTTGCATAATTCCATAATTGCAGCCTGTTTGCTCACTTATCGCAGCAGAACAATATGAAACGTCCTCGTACCCACAATTCCTGTCGCTAAGAAAAGAAATGTGAATACATGAAGAAAACGCGTAAAGAACGGTCGAGGCTACTCAGTTTCATATTATGACATTTGACAGAATATTTCACGATGTTTAAACGGCCTGAGGACAAGGAAGATTGTCGTGTATCTGCGAAAAGGGCGAGATTCGAGGCTCCCGGAAGAAATCCGCAGCATAGCAACGCAAAAGAAATTCCTGAGAGCAAAAATGCGCAGCATGACGATCTTTGGGGTGATGATTTCGCCGAAGAGGAAATCCAAGAATTGGATCTGATTGCATCTCAATGTTCGCAGGTACTGCTTCTACGTTGAAAAAAATATTCATTTTAAGAATATGCAATAAAATTCGAAAATGTAATTCAAATTCTTTTTTCAAGACAAGCAATATATTAGACAGTTTCAAACCTTTTGAAAGTGGCTCGCACTCAGTGAAATCAGACTTGCCAGAGAGACCATCCAATATTGCCTGCAGTGAAACATCATGTTTAAAATTACAACCTATGGAAAAATCTAATTTGTATACAGTAAACAAGAATATACAAGGCAAGAGTCAGGATATTCCGGATGTTAATTATTCTCAATTTAAAAATAAATTAATAAATAGAGGAAATCACAATTCAACATTCCAGAGAGAAAGTAACTTTATTCAGGTGTCAGGTAATATTGTTATATACAGAACTAAATAAATAAATGTGAAAAAGTATTTTACTTATATAATTTTTTTATATATATATTTATAGATGATAAGGAATTGGAGAAATTAAAAAATGAAAATAAAAAGTTACTGAATGACTTTATAACCAAAGATGGTGAAACTGTATACTTACGACAGCAATTACAGCAAATTCAGTTACGAACTGAAAATGAAAAATTAGAAAAGTTGCGTTTAATTGAAGAACAAGCAAATAATCATAGATTAGAAATCAGCAGAATTTATAAAGAAAAAGAGCAGTTGAAAACACAATTAGAATTACAAGTAAGCAAATATTTTGTATTTTTGTTTTTTTTATTAAAAGTAGAAATAACATTCATTATTAATTCACAGAATCTAGAAATAGGAAATCTTCAGGAGCGTTGTAAACGATTAGAGTTTGGAAATGTTAAATTAGAAGAACCACAAACATTGTATATGAATACTTCTTTTAAAAGTAAATGCAATACTTCAATTAATCGGTAAGCTGATGCATAGAAAAAAAATGGAAAATATAAATTGATGCAGGTTAAGTTTTATTATTAAAGGCAATATTTAAAATACATATTTAATCGATTTTAATTCAACAGATCGATAAATATGAAAAGTTCAATTAAAGAAGTATGTGTACAAGCTGATCTTTACAAGAAAACCAATTATCAACTTCAGACATGTAGTACTTGTGAGTATGATAAAAAATATATATAAATTATATGTTATTAAACTTCATATAATTTCTTAGTATTTGAAATATTCTTTAGATTTTCCACTTGCGGGAATTTCAGAATTAATGTTTGAAGCATCATTACCAGAAAAACCTATTATTAATATCAAGGTCATAGAAAAGACTGGAAGGAGAAATTTACCTATTTTGCAAGAAGAAGAAACATTTAGGATTTTTGGTAAATAGAGATATAATTATTGTAAAATATAATAATTATTATAATTATTGTTCTATAAAAAAATATATAAATACAATTGCTTTTTTATATATTGCAGAAAATCCCGATTTGGTAAAACCGGTAATTACTATAGTAGATGAAAAAAAATTGACAATAGAATTTGTTTTACCTGAAATTGCAGCCATTGAGAGGAAAGCTAATATTGAAATAGAATCAGAAAAATGTATACCAATAATTAATAAGGTATATAAAAGAATTGAATTTACTTAGTTCAATTCACTTAAATGTAACATTACAATGAGTTTATATAAAATTACAATGAAAACAATATTTGTATGCATATTCAAGTTACATATTTTTAGCTAGTTTTGACCGCAAGGGAGTTAATGCTGAATGTTGTAGAGATTTTACGAATGATTTTTCAAGCTATGAGAAATGATGATATTCGAGATATGAATGATTTATATTTTTCTAATGTCTATGAGAATCATAATATTTGTATCAAGTCTGAATGCGAAGCAAACGCATGGCATGAAGGAGAACGCGGTATCGAGGCGAGAAGATTACTCGGTGCACTTTCACATATCAGTTTGGAATCATCATATTTAAGCAATTACTTGGCAGGAAAATCGTTACTGCTCACACATAATGATGAGTGCTATAATCGTTATTTACCACAAATGGCTCGTTATAATGCATGGTCGAAAAGAAATCACGAATTTGAAATTCTTGAGATCATTCTAGAATGCGTTACTTTAATAGGGCGTGTTGTAAGTACATATTGTATTTTTTAAGATATGTAATTTTTTATTAGTCAAAATATTTATATTTTTGACAATTTTAATATTATTTATTTTTAAATATTATTACTTGCAGAGAAGATCTCATCAATTTACTGGTCTTATAAATGCAATAATAAAAGTACTGTGTAATGTACAACGGAAAATAGGTTACTGTAAGAAAGGGTACGGCAATATTATCCTCATGATTAAATGTTTGCAAATTTATATTAAATAAGATTATCTTTTCAGATTAGAATACATTTGTCTTATTTTCAAAGAGCTTGTATTCTCAAGGCCACTATCAATCTGTTATGTTTCATTAGTAGATTTTCTAATGATTTTCAGTAAATGCTACACTGAATTTGTACCAAAACTCTGCAGTAATTCACGTAAATATTATTGCGCATATCTAATAAAAGATTTCTATATTAATTAACATTATGATATTAATTATCATTATTTGAACAGAATCAATGGCAGTAAAAGGTTGGAAAGGTGCTTTACATTTTACACCAGGTAATTATACACACACACACACACATACACACACATATATTATGCCATTTTGAAATAATGTTCATAAAATTTGATATTTTCAGAATATCTTTTTTTCGTTATTATGATATATTTAGTTTATTTTAAAAAGAACAGATATAATGACAAATACACATTTTATGATTTCAGATGCTTGTGTTTTACAAATTCTTATGATGCAACTAGAGCACTTTCATCCAGATTTTCTCACTATTATAAATATAACCTATGGATTAATATCGTCTGTATGGGATATTTTGCAGACAAATAATAATTCATTAAGGATTGAAAATTCAGAATCGTGTAACTGTTATATGAAATTATTACGAATTACAATTAATATGTTGAAAAAATCTTCTGAAACCAAATTAGATATAATCAATAATACTGAGTGGCAGAATTCATTTTCTGCTACTAAAAAATGTTATATCTTAAAGAAAATTAATTATAAAAATTATACATGTCAGACAAAATGTAGCAGGCAGAGTATTGAAAATGATCTGTCTGATACATACCCTGAAAAATTGGATCAAAATTTTTGGCTTGGTATAAAAAAGATTCAACACAAAATATTAAAAGAGGGCATCAAATTTCTATCTCATCTCGCAATTTGTAATCCAGAATTTCTTACCTATTCATCCGACATGGAAGATATGTTTAATTTATTTATACGAAACATTGCTTTCTTCGATGACTTGATACTTCATGAAAATGAACGTAAGTATCATAAGAATCACAATATATATTGTGTTATTGTATAATATGAATCTATTTTAATACATTTTAAACAGAATGTTTCAGAAATAAGCATTTAAACATTATCACTTTAGAATAAAAAACTTTATTATATAACCAGACAATAATTAATTAAAGAAAAATTTCAATTAATTTGAAAAAATGTTTTCATGTTTACCTGAAACATTCTTTAGATTTTATTGTAAATGATATATACAAGGTGTCCGGAAAATCGCCCGCAGTGCTTCGGGAAGTGATTTGGGACCCAAAAAGAAGTAAAATTATATAAACATAGATTCGGAAATAAATCCGATTTATAGCCACTTTTATGTTAAAAAAAATAATTAAAAATCGTAATTTATAATCCTCTTGGCATCCTTTTTTAAATTTTAAATTTTTTAATTCAAAATTTGAAATTAAATTTTCAAATTTAAATTCAAAATTTAAATTTCAATTTAAAATTAAAATTAAAATTTTTCAATTTAAACAAGCGGACTATAAATTACGATTTTTTAAACATAAAAGTGGCTATAATTCGGAAACGACTTATTTCTGGACCTATGTTTATATAGCTTTTTTTCTTTCTTTTTGAATCCCGAATGAATTACTTCCCAAAGTACTGCGGGCAATTTTCCAGACAACCTGTATATATGTATATGTATATATATTTTCTTACTGCTTAGGAGAAGCATTAGATATTATAAAAATTACACTGTTTAATAAAAGTATACAAAGTGAAGCTGAAATACCCCATGAAGATATACATGTTTATCAATTGAACATTAGAAATTTTAAAAAGAAGATTGTTCCTGGAACCAAGAGAGATCATGTTGAAACAATTAAAGATTATAATAGAATATATATGACTATTAAAGCACTGTACAATTCTAAATCAAAATATAAAGAGAATTAAATTTATAAAATTCTCAAGAGAGATTGTATCCTCATGTTTGTATATATTTATATACACACACATATATACACATATGTATATGTGTTGTTAGTGTGTTTTTCTGCAAGCAAAATGACATTATCAATACTATGTCCGATATAACTGTGACATAATGTCATGTGTTCAAGCATTATACAAGTATATAAACTATCTCATTTATTAATTCTATAACATTTCAAAAAACTTAAAAGAAAAAAACAAAATATAATATTAGATTTTATCATCTGTGATTCTCAGAAAAAAGCAGAAAACAAAATTAAAATGAAAATACTTTTATTAAATGTTAGATTTAGTTTATAAAAAATTACTGGCAATATTTTTTTTATTTTACAATAATAGTATGCTGTATCATATTCTATTCTTTATTTTTGGATTTATTTATTTATTACTCAAAAGATAGAAATTTGACCATTTTTTTATATTCAATAAAAAGTATTGTTATCTAGAGTACATTCTTTCAATTATATAACAGTATAATCATGTATAATGTAACACGTCCTTGTCGTGTCCCCCAACATTACGTGACAGAGAAGGCATATCTCTGCCCTTCAATTTTGTGCGCAGTCACCGGCGCAGTCTATAGATAGTGTTTCGAGTGCAGAAGTGTAGAAGTGGTCGACTGATGCAAACTGATAGTCGGTAAATCTTGAGTTTAAGTCCGTTTTGTTATCACTCTACACGTGTTTTTTGAGAGATATATAAAGGACGATGGATTTAAAGAATTTAGTACCTGCAAGTTAAGAAAACCTCGAGAAAAGTTCAAGAAATAAGATTACAAGCAAGAAAAAGAATTGCATTTACAAGCGAATTAAGGAAAAAAATGAGAAAATAAAGGAGATAGAAAGAGAATTAAGAGAAAATATTGCTACGTTCCATATAGGACAAGAATTTTATTAAAGATTAGAATCAAGGAGGTAAGAATTTAGTGCAATTCGGTAATATATTCGAGTGCACTTTGATGTCATTCCGTCCAATTTAATCTATTGCCGCGAATCAGTTTTCTACATATATGACCATCGTTTAAGGCAGATTAATATTGTTAGCTTGTAGCTCTTCACTTGATAACAATAATTGATGAGAGTTGTGTATAATTTTAACAAGCAATAAACAATATATTAAGCAAAATGGTTCTGGAACAATATAAAGAAATTGTTGGATCTTGTGCTATGTACACTACAATGGCACAAATGTTAGCTGGAACGTGAGTATATTATGATGTATAATAAATATATCTTATCTTTTTAATAATTATAATTTAATGTCCTGAGTGAGAAAGATAGAGAGCAATCCATATAGTGAAAGTCTTTCATTAATCATGTTTTCATATTTATTTTAATATTATACATATATGAAATAGAGAGAAATGTTGAAAAAATATTAAAAAATTAAATTTAAAATATTTGCTGCAGCAGTTGATATTATCAGTGTTATTATCAGTATTATGCAATAGCTTGTTCATATTTCACAATTCATCATTTTTCATATGTGCTTACTATTGAAATATAATATGAACAGTTTCTTAAGACTCATTAAATGTGTAATACAATACATTCAAAATTATAAAATTTGCATTAATTTAAAAAAATATGTTGCTCAGTTTTTAATATAGTTACGTTTTTATAATTTATAGGGTAATATGCAAAGACATATACAAGAAAGGTACAACCAAAGGAGTTGATCCAATGCCTTTTCTTGGTGGCATAGGACTGTAAGTGTATATATATATATATATATATGTATATAAATATTCTTTTTAAATATAATTAAAAGTATTATAACAAAAATTGTTTAATAAAAATCTATGCATTTATAAATAATAATATATTCTCTTTCATATTGTTGATTAATTTATTGAATTAATTATTGAAAGCTAATTGCACATATGCTTATATTAAATAATGTTAATAATAAAATAATATTAAAATTATGAATAAGTAAATTATATTATGTGGTTAAATTAATGTTTTTAGGTGCATACTGATGCTTCGATACGCATTAATGTTAAATGATTCTACTATGATAAATGTTAACATATTTGGTTTATCGACAAACATTATCTATATGATAGTGTACTACTATTATGCTCCAAATACGGTATCTGATGAAGACTTTATTAAAATGCTTAATTTGTCTCCAAATTAAATTTGGATTTTTTAATTATTAATTAGTGTTTTTTCTTTTTTTTAGGGAGAAGTGCTTACACTTATATTCAAGACAACAATCTTTGTGTTAATTTTCCTTGTGTACGCACAAATAGAACATCCAGAAAATGTCGAATTTAGATTTGGTTTGGTGGTTACAATACTCTTACTTCTTTTAATTGCATCTCCTCTAATGCATCTTGTAAGTTGTATTTACAATTTTTCTATATTAAATATTTTTACTATATTTAAAAAAAATTTGTATTGATATAGAAATATTTCTTGCTTTTTTCAGAAACAGATTATAAAAACAAAAAACACCGAAATTCTCCCATTTCCACTTATCTTTATGGGTACCTTAGTTTCTTTTCAGTGGTTACTGTACGGCCTTATCATCAATAATGTTTTTATTATTGTAAGTATTCTCTACAATGTAATTCAAAAACTTACAAAAAGTAAGATAACCTTCTAATATACATTGTAAATAATTGTCGATATCTATCGTATTCTATACATTTTCAAATAGTTTCAGAATGCAGTTGGTTTTATTCTTAGCATAGCTCAATTATCTCTTTTTGTGATATTCCCATCCAAAAATTCACGAGCTGCATTATTGAGCAAGGAAAGGAAAGAAGATTAAAACAGTCTTCCAGAATTCTGACAGAAAGAAATATTTGCTGTATTCAAAATTATATTTTCTATAGTATACACATTCATAAAATAGCAGTATTTTATTATAGATATCTACAATTGTTGATTTTTTCATAAATCAAGGCAAAATTGGAAGATAATTCAATAGCGTAATAACAAATTTTAAGAATTTTATATACTTTGCTATATATATATATATATATATATATATATATATATATATATATAAAATTATATTTCATACATCTAACTAGTATAGCTTCACTTTTAACTATGTGGTAGATATCTGATTCATTTTGGCTCATAGAATTTTACTTTTATGTATTTTAGAATAATATTTTATATATGTAGTAAAATTGTTAGATTTTAATTTTATTTAAGATTGTTAGATTTTAATTTAATTTTATTTTTAAATAGCATATTTTTAATAAATAGTATTTCTATTCTAATATTTTAAATATATTTTTAGTATTTTTTTTTCTTTTCAGCATAAATATAAAAGCATTTTAGATATTTATTTGCATCTTTGTATTTGTTGTTATTAGAAAATTTCTGAGCCTGAATAGATCCGGTATTTGTCAGATCAAGCATTCCACAATTAATCTTTACTAATGTACATGTATTAAAAAAATACATAAATTTATATACAAAATATTTATTATCAAGTACATTACATATATATCAAAGATAAGTCATGCATTGCTCATACAAAAGAAGGAAAGATATAAAAAAGAATGATGCATTTTATATGTATTGCGTACAAATGAATATTTTTCTAATGATGGTTCTTATAATAAATGTGCATAAATGAATGAAAATTGTAAAATAAAATGCTGTTATGTTTGTTGTTCTTAAACAAAATACAATTATTTATTTCATTACAATATTTGCCTTTTTGTAGAACTAATAAATTTAGTTATATGTATTACATTATACTAATGCATGCTAAAACGCACTTGAAAATTTGTTTAAGGATATATAAATTTTCTCAAAATAATTAGCGAATGTGTTGCAAATGTAAGTAAACGAATTCTGAAGAATTACAAAGACAAATTATTTTTTGACAAATTATTCTTATACAAAAGGTGGCAAAAATGAACAGATGTATTATGTCTAGATATTTCTAAATATTCACGCATATTATACCTATTGATTTTGAAAAGAATTCGGTAATCAATTGTCATCGAACAGATGACAAAATAAAGTTATGTTTTATAGACAGATTAGACAAATATTAAATTATTCATTATAACATTTCTAATTCATCTCAGAATCAACATCGATTCGAAAATATAAACCGGAAGTGAAGGTATTATTTATTCCCTCTATATATATACATTACAAAGCTATGTGCTGTTAGTTCTTGCAGACAGATATGTCACGCGTGGCAAATGAACGATATCCAATCGATTTGCAGCGTTCATAAAAGCGAAAGATTGATTGGCTATCTTCTTGTCGTGCGCAAACCTGTAATCACACGGGTTGCGATTGAAATTGACCAATCAGAACAAAGCAATTTGTCGGCTACTCTGATTGGTCAGGTGGCGCAATTGGCCACGTCACCAATTGGCCAATTTAAAATAGGACTCTCTGATTGGTCAATCATAGCTAGTTACTTTAGATATAAGTCGATATAATTAATATTGGCTGTGGTCAAACGAGATGGTCCCTGATTGGTCAATTTCAACAGTAACCAAACTCGCAACTCGAACTGTGATTACGGCTTAATGTTGACGTATCTCGTGTGCAAAAGATCGTGTTTTTTTTTAAATTGGCAAGCCTGTATCGTTTATCAGCCCGCTTCTGTATCCGTCACGTCTCCTGTTACTGTTCCATCACATCATATCGCGTGGTTATTCGGCGTGCTTTTAACCTAAGCTCAATGACAGATGTGTGAAATGTCAGTTATGCGTTGTCTTGCGGAAAACAAATGGATTCAGAAACGAAGCCGTACAGGTCTCTGCCACCACTAGTCGAAGGTAAAATTCACGGTAATTTGCGGCTCGTTATTGACCAAGTTCTTTGGCTCAGAAATCCCGGAGATGTCACGGTTGTGGCTTCCTGGTGGGGCGAACACGACAGTGCTCAGTTCAGGTGATTGTAATGTGCTTTAGAGCGACTTTCTTTTTACGACGAATTAAATGACAAAAATGAATGACGCTTAAACGAATATTTCTCTGTATTGATTATATGTTTAAAAATACTTTATTGCTTTTGTGAGAAGTATATAACGCACTTGTTAATTTTTTCATATTTTTTTCAGGCCAATAGATAACATTACAGATACAGTGAGAACAGATGAGGATACAACTAAAATATATGCTATAAAAACTAACACAACGCTTTTTGAAGATTATCTTAAAAACTGTGGAACAATAGAATTAGTAATTATCGCGGAAAAGACTCGCGAGATTATTGGAACGGCGCGTGTAGGAGACTTGTCTAAGATATTTACATGTAAATATTATACTCAGTTTGTTCCAATATTAAGTAATAATGGCGATAGAATAGGGAAAATACGTGTTTCTTTGCAATTAACATATTTAACAAAGCTTCCAAATATGCAATTGAAAACATGCAAATACAATAAACAAGAGAGAAATGATGTTTTAGCATCAGTTGTTGATAATTTACAATATAACGAAGAAATACCAGTGACATCCTATAAGGATGCTGATATAAAAAAAAAACATTTTACAAACTCTACAAACAATGATACATATGATGTGTATAGATCTGTCCTGAAGACTAAACGACAAGATTTTCAAGAATCAAAAAAGAAATTTAATGAAATGATAACAGATAAATTAGTTGCTCAAATTGTTGCTAGAGCACAAAGACTTAGAGGAGCAATATTAAAAGAGACGTACAATGATGATTCTTTAGCTCTTAGCGATAATTCAATGAGCAATGGTTTATATGCTTCAGCAGAAAATGAAGCAAAACTTTATGAATATATTTTGGGGACTGAAATGACTTCTTCAGAAGAGAAGAAAGCTTTGAACACATTGAGATCAATATCTCCAACTCCAAGTTTGATAGATTTAGCTTCTGAAACAATTACAGCAAGTAAAAAAGATAATATAAGCATTAGACAGAATGAAAATTCCCTTGTAAAATCAAACAGTCTTGTAGAAGATGTATTACATGAAGAGATAACTGATGAAAGTGAGATGAAAGGTTGGTAATGTTGATAAAGATTTATAAACGGAGTAAATTATAATATAATGTTATATATTTGAATAGCTTAACAATACATTAATATTCTTTTTATTATATTAGGAACACCTCCTCTGGATCATGTCAATAGTATAAGAATTTTTATTGAATCCTTTACACTGAGTCCTGCAGGATACAGACGTGCAAAATCTACATGCTTGCAACGTATGTAAATTTTTTTGTCATGTTATATTCCATAAAAAAAGACATTAATATATTTTTATATCAATATATTTGAGGTTTTCGTATTTTATAAAAACATTTGATACGGATAATTCATATGTTCTTTTATTGAGTATAGATGGTGTACCATTGTCACTGACATATTTTATTCAATATGATACAACATTTGGATGTACAAAACAAACAAATATAAAATCTAATAAAGAAATTAAATTTGTAAGAACATGTGCTAAAAAACAAGTCGGTCAAGGTTGGTAAAGATTTACATTGTTTTGGCAAATCTATTTAAACGATATAATTAAAATAATAACTTTTTACAAAAATATGTAATAGAATAATATATAACTTTCACAGTTATTGACTTCAACTCTGAAAATATACATAGTATACAGAGACACATCATAAGGAAAAATTTTCCTTTGAAATTCAAAGTTTTTGTTCGACATCTTAATCAAAAATTCCCAATTGAGTTAGGATTTGGTTCCATGAATATCAATGACATTGCAAATACTGTAAATTTAAGCAGTACTCAGCGTATTGGTATTATTAATAAAGGTATCAAAATAGGTGATTTAAAGGTCACAGCAGAATTAGGCTGTGATTTTTTCTTTGGGAAAGAATTTGTTGGTGAGTATAATATATTTTTTTAAATATATAATTAATATAATTAAGCAGGCTCTTTGAGTTTATGGAACATTGGATTAATTTTATTAGATACTATAATGTCTGCAAAAGAAAATATCCCTGTTTTGGAAATACAATCTTTAAGTTCGAATGGTAATAAATACAAAAATGCAACAGGAACTCACTCTTCCAAATCTAGTAGCAAAGTCTCGTCCGTCTCTGCCAAACGAATTGAATGTTTAACTAGTAATAATAATAAGGACTTGATTGCTACAAGAGGTATAGCAGAGCACCGAGAACGAAGCTCGGATAATAAAAAAATTGATACAAATAATCCAGAAAGTGGTGCTAAAGATAAGGTAACTTTAAGGGACATAATTAAAGTGAATAAATGCTTCAATGCTGCTTGGCTGTTTACACTAAAAAACTAAAATATTATTGAGCAAGAAATAATAATATAGACAATAAGATAATTCTCACTCAACATTGATAGATATATATATATAGTGTAGTTATGGCTAAACAATATGCATTATGGCACTCATTCAGACTTAATTGTTTGAAATATTTACCACAGATCTCTTATTACTTGCATTTGATTTTAGGTTTTACTTCACGGCTTGATATATATAGCCGAGGGTAAAAATTTATCAGAACCTAATACTTATTTGATATGTAGAGCATTTTGGCGAGAGGACAAAGCAACAAGTCAAATCTGTAGTAATACGAAAAATCCATTCTATCATTTCTTTCAAGTATATTTTTTCTCTTATATTTAATGAAATGATTTCAATTATAAGCACAAAAATGAGTTTTACATTAAAAATTTGTTTCAGCTGGTACCATTAATTCATAGTATAGAATTATTGGAGAGAATCAGAGATAATTATATAATCATAGAAGTGTACAGTCGACAAAACAGTGAGGCAGATAATCTATTAGGAATAGCAAAACTACCTGTACATCAACTGTATATTGCATATAGAGATCCACTTGTTTTACCTCACTTGCTATTGTCAAAGGTAATTATAATTAATCTTATTTTCATCAGGTTTAATATTTTTGAAATTAATTATATAAAATCTATGCATTTTCATACAGTATCCTGTAATAAGTGTAGATGGTTGGGTCAATATTAACAATCCAGTAAGCGGAGAATCTTGCGGAGAATTACTTGCACTGGTTGCGCTTGGCACTGCAGAGCAAATTGCATTACTAGAAGTGTCAAGAGGTTTAAGAAGTACTAGTATACCACGAACAGTTTATCACTGTCATGTTCTTGATAATATAAGCAATGCAACAAATATTTATCAAGATAATTTACCATGTAATGTTCCTGAGATGTTAAATCTCAATTCACGGAAAGTTACATGCGATAATCATTTCGCTTATCACGTTCATAGTACGACTGATCGAGATTCAGCATCCGCCGATTATAAGAGTCAAGAAAGTCAAACAGATATCTCGAGCTTTCAAGATGCAAAACCGGAGAAATCAGTGGAAGAAGTTGAACTTTCAGAACACTTGGCTTTACATACTTTAGTCGACCGTTTAACGAATGCGTTACACATTAATAAAATCAGCACTGACCAATCGGCGCAAACTGAGATGAATCAAGCAGATGATAGAGAAATGAATGATAAAGAGTTACATTTAAATACGTTAAATAGCAATAGTCTCACTGACAATAGTGATAATAGTTGTAGTCCGAGAAATGATTTTCAATTACCTACGGAAATGTATAGAAGCGTTGGCGTTGGAGCAGAATACGACGAAGAATTAGATCGACAGCAAAATAACGCTTATGATAATCTTTCAAATTCATCCGTGATGAAAGAAAATCCTGAAAAAGAAGAAGTAAATATTGATTGCAATGACTCTTTCTTCCGATCTGTCGTGGAAATTGAATGCGCGCTACATTTGCCGAAGATAAAAGGACTAAATGAATTTGTAGAACCGAGTACATACGTGACTTTTCAGGATTTAACTCATAAACTTAATTCTAGTAGCCAATTGAATTCATATATGGCGACGAATGTTTTTTCACACAGCTGCAATCCAAAATGGAATTGGAAATGCGATTCAAAACTGCCAATGGACCTACTTTTAAATGTATGTAACATTTTACATATTTGATATCATATGTAATTTTATATATGTTATATTTAATGTATGTTTTATATTTATAATAATAATAATAATAATAATAACATATGTAATCTTTTTTAGAATCAGAAAAGATTGATCTTCAAAATATGGTATTTAATCGATCCAAACACGTCGACAGAAATAAATTTAAGAAAGGATATTGTGATTGGTTTTTCCGCTGTCGATCTCTCCGTTTTGATGGCTGGATTTCCCACGGTATCCGGATGGTTTCACATTATAGATTTTACCGGAAAATGCAACGGACAAATTAAAGTAAAGTCTCATGATAATTTTGAACAAAAGAGACATATATTTAATTAAAAGCCTCGTACATATAATTACTTTAATTTCAGATAACTATAACACCTCTGGATAGTTTACCTTCAGGAAAATTTGCACCAATTGACGCCAATCTGCCAAAATGTAGTAATTTATCGCAAACAAACTGGTTGCATCTGTATAATAATACACCTTGCAATGATACAGCAGAGTCTGATAATACGTATCAAATGTTATCAAGCCACTCGTGCACAAGCAATGGGAAAAGCAGATATACACAAAGTGATCGTAAGAATGAATTTGTAGTAGAAATTGGTCATGGTCTGGAAGATGTTTCTATGTCTTTTCTCTCATCGTCTTTGAAGTGAGTATGATACTGAGATTATCTTTTTTATTTTGTTACTATTTTAATATTTCTCATACATTTAATTATGATCCTATATGTTACAGGCAAAAGTTGACTGAACTAGACGAGATTACAAAACGTTTGCAATCACGTTTAAGTGATGTCACAAATACGGCTTTCGAAGATGATTTTGATAATGATTTCGATATGATCGAACCAAATAGTGACAATGAAAATACCGATGATAAAAATGTCGAGAGTACACCGCAAAACACAGATTTCAAGTATTCTGCTAATAGCGCGTCACAAATGCCGAAACAGAATAATATACAAAATGATCGAAATTTCGTGAATGACGAGGCACAGACATCCGCTATAAGCAGTAATCATAATTCACATTTCGAGTCAAGTTCCGATCAAGTTCGAGCTATAAATTCGGATGCAACTGATACCGGGTATTGCACCGATTCCAATGCACGCTTCGCACATCTCGGTTATTATCACAATCAGTATCAAAATCGATGCGGATCGTCGACTCGTAATTATTTATCAAGCGGCACAGAGTATCCGGCACGAGGTACCAAAACGCATATAAATCATCTACTCGATAAGCTTTCCTTGGATTTGCCACCCAGGCCGCCTTCGGCAGCGGCCGTACCTATGAGGAGAGATATTCTCGAACTGTTTGCGAGTTTACGAGAACACAGAAATAATTCACAAGACAAGAACAAGAACAATCGTGGTATAGATACTTGTTCAGTGCCCACTCAGACGGATGACTTGGGCGAATCGCACGCTTACATTCACGCGACGAATTTAGTCACAATCGATGGCGAAAGCTTTTCCAAACCGTCTCAAATATTGGAATCGCAACCTCGTAATAGAATATCGACAGTAATACGTGAAGAATTAGTTGCGGAAGAAAATAACGAAAACTCCAATTGTGATGAACTAACGACATATCTAATCACTTCCAATGTACGTCATATGGACTTGGATAATATATTCAATCCATTGCTCTATCAACATATGTTGCCAGATCTACAAACTACGGCTGCTGTATCACCGGAAGGAGAAGCGGAACAACTGGACAATCAGTACGCGAGAAGTTTCGGTATGGCAATGATGCGCGATAGTAGAATCGATCGTTCGATAGAAAACAAAATGACTCCATCTCGAAAAAACGACATGCCAATAAAAAGTCGAACAAGCGTTTTAGATTCTGAAGAGAACACGGAAGAGTTTTCCGCTTTGACAGATTCGGATGTATCGGGAAATATCGACAATAGTATCGATGTAACCGTCATTTATAAATCCAGCAACAATGATCTAATGTCGAATAATAGTACGGAGTCGATAGTTGATATTACGTCATTCGACAAATCATCGGCACAGCAAACCACTAAAACAAGGAATTACTGCTCCACCGAACTATCTGTTCCCGGAGTATCGAGACAAGCGCCCGAAGGTGGCAATCCCGTGGAAGAAGCTAAGATAGTTTCGGTAATGACGAATCGACAAGACGATATCCAGGATGTGTCAGCAGATGATTAAATACTTGTGTAAGATACTTTTGTAACTAAACTAGAATATAGAAAAAAAAACAATCTTTGTATGTGTGTACAGAATGAACCAATAACAATCAACAATATCTTCAAAATTATATGTGCCAGTAAAGAAGAAAAATTTATCAAATACAAGTTGCATTGTACAGGAAAAGCTATCGTATGGTGATGATAAATGTTACGGATGAAATTACTTAGAAGAGATTTGAGTCTTCTATTTTTTTTTAAATATAGAATCACATGATTTTTTTCAGAAATATATCCAATTTTTTCAACTATTTTGTATAAAAGTATTAAGGAATTATTAGAAAATCATAGTTTATTTCATAATTTATTTTAATGAAATATGAAATATAATACTCATATTCTTCAATTAAAAATATTACCTAAATTTTTCATAAAATAATAGATTGATAATATTTTCTTACAAATATAACATTGCAACATATTACTTTGTTTAAATGTTATATTTTTTTTACTTATGCATTTTTTTTATAAAAAAAAGGAATTTGTTATAAAATTAGCTTTATGTGTGTGTGAGAGTAAAGGAAATATATCTATAAAATAAAATATATCTCTATAAATTTATATTTTAATTATATATATATATATATATTTATTTATAAATATATTTTTCTATAGATATATATATATATATTTATAAATATATTTATAGATATATTTTTTTACTACATATATTGCAAACTCATTATAAAGCTAATTTTTTTCACAGGTTTTTTTTTTTATAAAACAACTTATAAAAATTCGACATTTTATAAAAAAGCTAAATCTTTCTATAAAAAAGCCCATTTTATAAAAAGTGCATAAGTAAAAAACATAACATTTAAAAAAAGCAATTATATGTTGCAATGTTTATAAAAAAATAAGGTTATCAATCAATATATTATATATATATATATATATATATATATATTTATTTATTTATTTATGGTGTATATTTTATCATATAACATATAATTTCGTATATTATTCATAATACATAGTTATGCCATGTAAATTCTGAGATGAATGAGTATTAACATTAGTGGTAATATAGAGTACTTACATCGATTTTCTACTGAAGTCCATCTATGCTAGGCAATATTTTTCTTCTTAAAAATCTGTGGATGTGTGTGCTAATTAAAGTATGCTTATGATTACTAATCCTTCATCAACATTAAATTAAATTATGATGTTGAAAAAGGTATGAAATTTTGTAAAATAAATTTTTTTTGTCTACCACTTGTGTATTCAGTAATATAGATTTGTAAAAAGATATTAAAAATTTTCCCTTTTTTTAAATCTTTAAATTAATAAGTTATTCTAAATTTTGATTATTGATTATAAATTCTATTTTTAAAATATATATTTAAAATATATATGGATAATATGTGATTTAAAATATATATGGATAATATGTGCATTTAATAAAAAAAGGGAGTTTTTATTGTATTTTACTAATCGTCAAACGCGAGTGGTGACATATGAAAATCATATTTTCCTCGAGAAATTTTATATTTTTCACTTACGACAGATTTATTATATGCGAAAATGCAATGAGGAAACAGGAGCTTTAAATTAGCTGGTAATTAATTGGTACTGGTGCTTGAATTAATATAATTATTATATATATATATATTTTTTTTTTTTTCAAAGAAGGTATCATATAAACTAACTTAGAACTTGTCCTATTGACTGATGACTGTGTATACGTAATGATAAATTATATCAAGTAAATATTGACATCATATTATCCTATTCAGAATATTTAAACTATTATCTGAAATATTTACCATATATATATGCGCATATTTTTATATAATCTTTGTGTGTATATAGCGCCTAAAATTAGACATGCGAAAATATATTGTATATTGATTAATGAAATAAATTCAATCTATATAAGAAACTTTCTTTATATTTGAAGTACATAATAATAATGGTACAATCATATGATATAGGACAAAGAATTGTATTCGAAATTAAATATCTATTATAATTCCACATTTTTTTAATCTTTTAAATAAGCTGAGAGATATGTTTCTCTTCTTGTCCATTGTTTCATTACAGTAGGATGCATCAACCATATCTTTGCATCAGTGCCCTCATGAATGTGAATACCCGAGCAGTCTCTTATTTTCTATGATTACATAATCATGTATATATATATAAGAATATAATTATAGAATTTATATTAATAATATTGAAATCTTACATGAAATAATTCAAGTTCCCTCTTCTTAAATTTTATTTGTTTTTGATATTCTTGTGCCATACACATTCTGCACAAAAAGATCTTGTTATTCAAGTGCCAATAATCTCCTATTGGCTTTTTACCACATATCTTGCAAGTATCCGTGTTGCGACTGCAACATTTGAGATCTACACCAAGTTGCATTTTAACTCTACCACCAAAACTATGTTGAAATGTAATGCCTTTTATCTCCTTGCTAATGTACATTCCAGGCCTAAAGCAAAACTATCATTATTTTGCAGAGAACTTTTATAAAAATAATGAGTGCGAGTTGTTTACCCTGGATTTTTATTGACATGGAAGAGTTTTCTTTCACTGGTGGATCCGAATGGATGTCTCTGTGATTTGACATGTTTAGGAAAGGAACGAACATTGTAATCAGATGGTGCTGGATAATCTTCCACATGAGTAATAGATTTGCCGAATCGAGCAAGACCATTGTAGCCCTTCTTGCTGATGCTATGAGAACATGGCTAGAGAAACAAATTAAATAAATATAATTTAATATTAACTAAAATAGTAACTTTTTTTGTAATATATTTTTTTTGATATGGAAAAGTTTGTACCTTAGTTTTAATGGCATTAAATGATTTCAAGACATTGTAGGAGCCAGGTCCAATATCGGGATTATCCTCGAAAATGTAATATCTCATAAAGGGGCTCGCTCCCTTCTTGGAGGTATCGCGTGATTGTCCGGAACCGAAACATATTCTTTGCTGCTCCGGTTTCTTTATTACGTACTCAAAATCTGTATCAATGGAAAATAATTGCATCCGATCTTAATTCTTGAAGACAATATCTCGATATAACTTCACGATAAGCAAAAATACCAGATTCCTTTACTCTAAATCCTGTAGATTTTTTTTCTGTACTTGCACAACATATTACTCTCTATGGTAACCTTAATATTGATTTAACGATTACGTGATCAAAATTATCACATCTCATAGATATGTTTACATGAATTATTAAAATAAGAATTTTTTTGTATATTTATAAAGAGTGTATATGCAAAATGTCGAAAGATATATATTTTTTAATGACATAACAAATTTATCGCCATACCTTCCATAGATCGGTTTATTTCGAAGGCTGTTTATTTGTAGACCTTAATATATACAAGACGGACGATCATTGAGAATTTTCAATTATATATTTGACCGACGAAATTTCCAAAATTGCACAAAATATATATATTCATAGACATTTCTCTCTTCATCCGGGAACCGAATCGTAATTTGGCGCCCCGAGTCGGACGCGCGTGCGCAGATCGGATCCCGCGCGCGGCGCGTTCCGCTCAATGCCGCGACTCGGGAAATTGAAAATAATTTGTAGCGCGGGGACGCGTAGCCGCTTTTATTCGTAAATGCGCGAAACAACTGATTCCCGAGCGTGAGCGGGTGAAGATCGAAGGCGGGACGGATGCGAGACGGTAGGCGAAATAAGGGCGAACGGCCCGCACAGGAAGCGACAACGACGCTGTCGCTTGAACAACATAGTGCCGTCAGTCGCCGCAGGTCGATGGTGTTGTCCGTACCGACGGTCCGTCCGTAGCCGTGCTCGCGATGCGTCCACCGATGTGTGTTTCTGCACATGGCCGTGCCGCCCGACAGGCCTCCACACTGCTCCGCGGCTTTTGGCGACCCGACACCGGTAAACGCATGCTTTTCGCCGCGGATTTCGCTCGCCGCGAACGGGAGACGCGCGATAACACGTCGGAGAGAGATTTGAGGTGAAATTAACAGCCTGACGGACGGAAACGGCAATCGCCAACCAATCGCCTCCACGGCGCGCTCCACCGTCTCGGTGTTGGCGCCACGACGTTGCACCGTCCCCACGACATCGAGCAACGTCGTTCCCTCTCGTTGCTCCCGATATATTATCCCGCTTCCTCGTCGCATTTTTCGCCGAAAGAGCAATTTTATCGAGAACGACGACGTGCGTCGTAAAATTATCGCGCGACATTCAAGGACAAACAATTCGAGGTCCATGGTGTCTCGTTCTTCTCTGCTTGATAACGCGATATTTATGGGGGGATCTTCTCATTTGCTCTTGACACGAAAATCGTGCCGCTTTTGTGACGAAATATCGTCTCGTAGGAGAAATTATTTATTTTTTGGTTAAACTGTACATGAGCGATAAATAGCCATTTTTCTAATCTAGATATATGTTATATTTTTTGAAAACAAAGAGAGCACAAGTTCTCTTTTTCTTGAAACGTCTCCATGCATATTCTGTTTAATGTAATTTTTCTTTTTTTTTTTCAGAATTGTGTCCATTATTTCTAGAAGAATTATATTATACTTTGTATCCTCATCATGACTACGTCGTCAGAAGATGTTTTAATGCAAGTGAGTCAAGTGCGTTATAAAAAAGGGGATGGTACTTTATATGTGATGAACGAACGAATAGCATGGATGCTCGATAACAGGGATACTGTATCTGTCAGCCATAAATATGCCGATATTAAATGTAAGATTTTAAAAAATAATATAAAAAATGAATTAGTAATGCTGCCTTTAAGAAATTTCTATGACTAATAGATGTTTGATTCTTTTTTTTTCCTGCAGCGCAAAAGATATCACCAGAGGGAAAATCAAAGATACAATTGCAGGTGGTGTTACATGATGGTACATCATCTACGTTTCATTTTGTAAATAAAAATGGACAAGAAGCACAAATTAAAGACCGCGACGATGTAAAAGAGTTACTGCAGCAATTATTACCAAAATTTAAGAGAAAAGTTAATAAGGAATTAGAAGAAAAAAACAGGTAAAACTTGTATAGTTTCTTCATTTCTTATTTGAGTAGAATGGTAGCATGAACATATTAAATATAATTATAACTTTAAGTTATTAAATACTAAAAATAATTTTTTAGAACCCTCCAAGAACATCCTGTATTGCTCCAATTGTATCGTGATCTAGTTATCACACAAGTTATATCATCCGAAGAATTTTGGTCTCAACATGCCGCTGAGTATACACAAGCCAAAAAGATTCAACGCCAAGATATAGGTGTTAATAGTGCTTTTCTAGTAAGATTTTCTTTTATTCTAACATTTTTTATTTAATATACAAATTATCAGAGTTACTAATAAAAGGCTGATTACATTTTTTAGGCAGATATAAAACCACAAACTGATGGCTGCAATGGATTAAAATACAATTTAACCATCGATATAATAGAATGTATATTTAAGACTTACCCAGCCGTTAAGAGGAAACATCAGGAAAATGTGCCTCACAAAATGTCAGAATCTGATTTCTGGACAAAGTTCTTTCAGTCACATTATTTTCACAGAGATCGTATCAATGCTGGGACCAAGGATCTTTTTACCGAATGTGCCAAAATAGATGATCAAGAACTTAAGAAGGAACTTCAGTCTGGGATAAACGATCCTTTGGTAGATATTACTTCCTTTGAGGATCAAACATTGGATGAAAACTATGGCGGATGTAATAAATCTGATAAAACATCGGGAAATATCGTTCATCAAAGTATGATCAAGAGGTTCAATCAACATAGTATAATGGTTATGAAAGCCAGCACTGCCAAACAATCGACGACGCAAATTAATCAACCGCAATTAAATGGATCTACACCATCTGCAAGTAAAGTTACGAATAATGACTTGGACGCTGGACCAAAGACTAAAAAAGTACAGTAACATTTCTTTTAGCTTTATAATTATAATTGATGCTCAAACAAATTGAAAACATTTCATTTAACTTGTTTATAAATATCTCTTTACAGCGTAGAATACAAGAAAAGATAACTTACGATGATCTCGACACGAGCTGTGACATAAATACAAATAAGGGAACACCATTGAATCTGTCACATGTAGATAGATATTTGCATGGACCTATACCAGGATATGGAAATACAGAACCAACTTCAGACGAACTACTCATTACATTAAGCCAGTTGAAGAAGGAAGCTTCTGGGTGGCTGTGTGGTAACACGTTACCGCGACAGGCAGCGACATCCTTAGTTAGTCCGGCTGCAGCAGTATCGGCTTTAGGTGAATTAACACCTGGCGGATCTTTAATGAAAGGTTTCCGGGAAGAGAGTCTCGGGCGTGAGTATATTTTTAATGTTTAATATATAGTATATAAAATACATTGTCATTTATTTCTTCTATGTATTCTTCAATATACAAATATAAATTCATAATTGTTGAAATACATATTATATAGAATTAATACCAAAGGATTTGGAGAAAGAATTGTGTAATATATATGTGTGTGCGTGCGAGTTGTTGAGGCACTTTTGGCGAAGTTTTCCTCCGACGACACCGCAACTCGAGGAAAAAGCAATCAGAATGCACGAATCTTTACATAGATTTCATTCTGCTAAACTAAAACCCTTTGAGGTAAGTGTTGTACATTACCCATTTCATGCTTATCAATTTTTATCGAGATGAATCTCAATGTCACATACAAATCTCATTTCTAGGATCGTGTGCAAAGAGAATTCTCTGCAGTTAGTCAACATTTGACGAGCCATCTCAATCAATTGCTAACCGCTGCATATGGAAAGTTTGCAATGTGGCAACAGCGGAAAATGCAAATGAGGTAGCCGTTCGTTAAAATCTTTTAAAAACAGCAACGTAAACAGAGCAATATTGATCACATATTGCATTTTGTAATGTTACCGTAATTAGATATTAATGTCGATGTATTTTACATAAAAAAAAGGAAAAAACCAAAGCGCTATGCCAGGTCACATGCGTCCTGTTGCCACACACATACTATCTTTATTTATTACTATTACTTTTAAACATATTTATAAAATAGTTTTTTGAACTGTCTTCGCAATATAATCATCCGAATTCAGTCGCAACCGACGGTATATCAATCCGCAACTATGTATATTTTCGTAATATATGTAGTTTATAGCTTATTTATTTACTAATGGATATACCACATATGTTTTGAGAGAACGTGTTCATACTTAAAAGCGCACGGATGTTCTAAAAATATGTATCATTACGCTCAGAGAAAATGAGTTTATAAATCTTTATGCGAGAAAGATGTAGTTATAATCATGTAATGTCTATGATATGCGACAATTTTAATTTAAGAATATTCGAATGAGACGGGTGACTGCGAAGTATTGTACGATATCAAAATAACTGTGATACCGCCACTGTACAGTCAAGCTTGTTAATATATTTTTTCGCCTCGATAATATCTTCGTGATTACATTCTTGATTATTTCGTTGAAATTTATAGAATAATAACTTATACAAGTCTTTATTTATTCTTTGATCTTTGCATCTTTTTCTGTGACGAGCAAAGATCAAGATAATTATTGCAGTTTAACGATAGCGAAAATTTACTATGTAAATTTGAATCTCACGTCTCTCGAAGATCGTTGTAAAAAGTTTGCAAATTCTACCATTTATTTTTACAGACAGTGGCATTGGTATACTTTGTATGATATCTGCGACATACTCAACTAAGTGTCTTAATTGTTGAATCCTATTTTTTCTTTACACTACTGGGTAAGGCAATTCGCGGATTCTCATAAACTGCCTACTCGGTCTCTACTGTAGCAATAATTTGGCAGTTGTAAAAAAATATGAACGCGATACCTATCTCTTCAATCATGGAGTAATGATTGATTGTACTTGCGCGTTACGCTATTTAATTATTACTAGGCTAATTAATATTATAAATATATTCTTACATTATGATTATAAAATAAATGTTATTATTGTGATTACGAATTTTTAATATCTAATATTTCAATTTTTCTTTTTTTTATATCTCGCCTCTTCCACTCTTGCGTATATTAGATTTATAATTTGTTTTATCCTGTATGTGTATATGTTTTTATTTAAAATAAAGACGCTCACTGTTTTAAATAAAATGTGGGAGGTGGCGAAATATTTGCAAAAATACGAATTTATTTTAGTAATCAACAGGTTGCTGATACGCTTGTCGTGTATTTTCATTCGACGAAAGCCATTCGTTTCCGCGGATTAAAAGACGAGTATTTTGCGCAAAGAAATATTTCACAATACGTAATGTATACAACACGCCGATTTTTTCGTGCAACATTCATCCCTCGGAAAATCGTACAGGCTACGTTAAATGATAAATCAAATTTCACAGAAATTTGAAAAAACGCGGGTTTATCCATTTGAAAGTCGGCGTACGCGATTTACCCGAAGCAGACGGAAGATGGCACGGTCTATTGTTGACCGGGATCAAAATGGTGGTCAGTAATGGGCAGCAGTGCGGGGCGATATTGTGCGCGGAGCACGCGAGTGTCGATGAATGTCGGTTGCCGTCGGTATTCCAGGTGATATAAATGAGCCCGTACGTGGACTTTGAGCGACGTCGCGACTTCGCGACGCCGTGCTAAGCGGCGCCCGAAATGCGCCCCAGTCACCGTCAACGCACACGCTCGGATCATGTGAGCCGCGACTCGCCGTCCGGTGGTGCTGCTGGTGCTGCTGGTGCTGCTGCTGGTGCCGCCCGCCTGGTATCGCCTGTCGCACCGCACGTTCGCCGTGTAGCAGCTTGTGTAGCCATATTTCCCGTGTTTTTCGCCGAGACGTCGTCGTGTTTGACGATCCGGTGTTGAGCGTTGCATCGTTTCGTTGGCCGATCGTTGGCTGCCTCACCGTATGGCTGCGCGCTCTCGAAGAGGATAGCGTCGCCGTTGTCATCATTGTCATCGTCATCGTCGTCTCCGTGGTCGTCGTGTCGCGGGGGCCGCCTCCGTGTCGAGTATGCGACGATCGTTCCTCGCCGTCCCGTCATCGTTGGACGCGCAGCATTCGCATCGATTGTCACCGCCACCGATCGTAGGTGAAGGCTGTGTCACGAGAAACGTCATCGAGACGAGCAATTCCGGATCCTGTCAACATCGCCGATCGATTCGTCGTCATTCGCGTCCGAGCACGCGATTTCGCAGTGTTTCCCAGACGCCTAATCAGCCGGCTACCGAGTGCGCATTTTTCCATTGTTGTGTACGTCGTTTTGAATCCTATACGAAATGTAAGCCGACGGTACTTACTTTTATCGTTTTACAGCGCGATTGGTTTTCTTATCAACAGACGAGATTGTATCTTCGGAAATTGTGATTATGATAATGTGTGCTTATTGACAGAATTAATAAGAGACAAAAGAGACTGTCATAAGGAGGAATTATCTATATTTTCTTTTAAGTTAATCTATAACACTTCTTTTAACTAGTCTCATTGTATTCAATGTCTTGAGCAACAGCTAATGTCTAAACAAAATATTCAGTTTATCAAATTGCAAATGCTGCGCTCATAATTTTTTGAAGTCACTAATTTAGTCAGTAATTTTAATATTTTAAATAATGAATACAATGAATACTTATTTAAAGATTTATTATAAAACAATCAAATATGTCACGACCTTGTTTTTTCCTTTCAGATGGAGAGCCGCGGCACTGCTAATCCCGATTGTTGGGTGAAATGTTTATGACTGAAATTTATTGGAAATGTTTTAAATATAATTTCCTATATATAAGAGTGCAAAGAAATATATAAAAGTTGTGAGATAAAAAGTTATGTTATGAATATCTTGGAGTGCATGTTTTACACTGCAAATTGGAAGAATCTACTAAACGTGCACCAAGCGAGGCACTATTGTGCCAAGCTTGGGTAATGGATCCCATTGGTCCATGGTACACATCGTATAATCGTCTCACTGCAGGCGGCACTACTGGGACGTTTCAAACGGCAACACCAACTACAACTAGTGATTTTGTACCTCATCATTTAGCAACGGCTGTTACGCAGACAGTGCCATCAACAACGACGTCGCAATTACTTTTACAAGCGGCACATACAACAGCAACTCTGGCGGGTCAACCGTCCCCTTTCAACCCTGGGGGGTTTTTAACCCCACCCCCTGTGGGTTACGAAGTCTTTTCGCCACTCTTCCATCATTCTAATAAGCAAGCGCATTATGTTACTCAACATAGACAAGCTCTTGCTCAAGCGCAAGCGGTATCGGTGACAAAACAAAACACTACGAGCGAATCTGATATCTCTACGTTGAGGGAAAATTATAGTTCGGCACATCAAACTACGTTTTTCGAGCAACAAGGAGCGTCGACATCGCCTACGACATCGACTCTAGCTTGGACACCTCAAAACAATACGCAGCTTCCTAGCCCATTTGGTATTTTGCCGCACGAGAGTGTTGTCTCGTCATCTCCAGGTCCGCCTTCCACAAAATCTAGCAATACTAGCGGCTACGAAAACACCTTCAACGCACATTTTAGTACAATGCAGACTATAAACAATATCAACGCATCTCAATTAACTAGTCCATCAGCGTGCAGCGCGGACTTTAAAGTCGCCAGTTGCCCGACTGACGCGAAGAAATCGGTCAATGTGAGACCTCAATCGCCTACCTCGGTTAACGTAAAATCCATTCCCGTGCAAATTAGTGGTAGACAGACGTTCTTTCATCAAGTACCGACAACTTTTAGTTCCGACACTTTAACGAACAATTATCCGAATGCGGGAAATGGAAGTCAGTCCGCTGCTGGAAATGGAAAGGTGCAGTCATCGGGTTTGCAGCATCAGCAATCGTGTATTGTGTCGACGCCAAGTAACGCTTCGGGTAAGGAATACAGAATACCACAACCACCCTCGAGATCGACTGCGCCAACAGTTTTTCTCAGCACCTCCGCGCGTTCGAGTTCTACGCAAGCAGTTCAGCAGGATAAGCAGGGAACGCGCAATGGAAATTTTGCATCTCCGCCTAACAAAGCTGCGACTGCCACTGCTCAACAGAATATCCAAACTAAAGCACAAACTAAGATTTATCCAGAATTGGGAAGCCATGGAGTCGAACATCGGAGAAACGAGCAACACGATAATAACCAATCATCATCACCGATCAGCTTCTCCATTATGGACAATCGCGGTTTGAACTACGCTGCGAATAATTCCACAAACTGCAACAACTCGAGCGGCAAGCTTACAAACAGTCAGAGGACGCCGTCTAACAGCAATCTACAGTCGCACCCTCAACAGCAGCAGCAAACATTTCACGTTTTGAATCAGCAACAGCAACAAACCACATCTTACAGACATTATTTAACAGGATCAGGCACGAGTGATACGGAATATCATCATCCAGGCAGATCCAAGTCCGCGACCTCGACCGATTCTGCTTATTCCTCCAATACTTCGACGCAAAACGGACCCGATTGCAGCGTTGTCGTTCCACGAAGACCGAGTCCTCTACAGGCTCATTCGCAGGCCAGTCCCCTGGGTCACGTGCCAAGTCCCGCGTATCCCATGTACAATAGTCCGATGGCGACCATGTCATCACCGTCACCGTTGCAACAACATGGTGAAAACAATGGTAATCAATGCACCAATGCTGCACAGCCATACAAAGGTGGAGTACAACAACAAGTCACTCCACCGTCACCTCTGGACGTCACCGTTCCCAGGCCGTCATCTCAAGGACAAGTCGCGTATTCCTCAGTGATTACACGAGCGTTAGGTACCAGTACGGAGAACAATAAAACCGCTTATAACGCAGAGAGTAAAACGACATACGACGGACAACAGCAAGATTTTTCACAGACGCAGAAGCAACAGGTCTGTTGGGAGAACGACAACCGTCAAACGACAAATGGCAACAGAAAGTTCTCTATTGCCGTGTATACCGGCACGAACACGGGAGATATAAACGCGCAGAGTTTGCCAGTTCAACAGCAACAAGTACAAAGGCTGGTGAACATGTCGGATAGCAGACAGCAACCATATTTCGAGTCCAATCAGGTGGCGCTGCAGGACTTGAGCAGTTGCAGGGGAGATCCAATGAGTATCGTGAAGAACTTGCAAACATTGCAACAGGGTCCTTGTCAGGTGCAGCAGCATACGATCGTTATGGCCAGCACGACAGAACAACAAAAGCAAGCTGAGGAAAACAGACGGAAGGCCGACAACGCTAACAAAAAGAGAAAAAGTTTGGAAAAGGCTGTTAGTCACAATACGGCGTCGAACGAGCTTACGGGAACCACAACGATGACGGAATACCTCGGTAGGATACCTCCACCAGCGCATCACAACGCGGCGAATCAACAACAGCAGAATGGCTATTTCGATTTTGAACGATGGAATCTACCACCTCCACCCACCAAGATGTTTCCCGCTGCATCTGGCGCCTTCGGTTCACAGTCTTCGTTACATCACTCGAGTAACTTTGCAAACACTCCGGCTCATCAACATCAGTCACTGATGGTATCTCATCATCACGCGCCACCACCTATTCCATATTTCCCAGCTTTTCATATTCCCGCGGGTCATCATCCGCATCACCCGCACGAATTTCAGCCCTCGGTTGAAATTACGTCGATAGGATTCAATGCTGAGAACGTCGCGAATCAAAATGCCAATTACAATCAAGAGGTCAGAGACGACCAGCCTAAGGTAGTCGTTCCTAATATCGAAGAGGAACTCGGTTTTCTTCAACAAGATCAGCAATTGCTGCAGAATACGAGTCAAATGAATAAAGACTTCAAACGGCCCAACAGAGATCCTAATACGGGTTTTATGACAAGTTATTTAAAGTTTTTACAAGGTGAAAGAGATCCTTCTCCGCCGCCTGCTATACGCGGTGGTAGAAAAGCGACATGGAATAGGTCAAAGCCGTACATACCAATTGAGCCGAGTAAATCCGCGGAAGCTTCGACCAACGGCGAGACTGTTAAACCTCAAGAGAAACCACTCGTTAAGGAGACACCAGTTAAGGAAACACCAGTGATAGACTACGCTAATGATCCCAGATATTTTCCGTTACCGAAGGAAAGGAAAAAAGCAAACTTTGATTCGAGTGATGATGGATTTACTAGCGACGATGACTTTCTATTTCCCCCTAAAAAAACTGAAAAGAAAGTGCAAAATGCGACTAATAGTGCTAGTAATATTGAAGTTGTTGCTGCAAAACCAGAAGGCAAAGGCAGAAAAGGTCGGCCTATCAAGCCTGGTGGTCCTACAGATAGAAAGAGAAAAGCTGCTGCAGCAGCGGCAGCGGCGGCAGCAGCAGCAGAAACGGAAAAAAAATCTTCGAAGAAAAATGAAGAAGGTAATAAATATCAAAATCTTTCTTTTTTTTTTAATTGATATTTTTCATAGCTTTAAAAATGTATATTTTATACAGTGGATCCTTTATTACTCCCTCCGAGACGAGAGACGTCGAGAAGAAAGGCAAAGGAAAAGACATCGGTGAAACAATTTTTGGATCGGCAACAGGGTATAGATTATTTTGACAATGACGAGGAACAGGCTGATTCCGATTCTGATCCAGCGTGGACGCCTGCTGTGAAATTGGTCGGGGACGAGGAGGAGAAGAGGAAAAAACGGATGAGACCCGTCATTACTAAAAAAATTAGAAAAATCTTAGAGGAAGATGGGTATTCATCTGGGGATGCTATCGTCTCGAAAAAATCAACGAGAAAGAAACACGAAATGCCTTCAAAAAATTCCAATACTGGAAAACATTCTTGTAAGATTGATGAGAAACTAGTAGCGGCAGCAAGTGACGAAGATATTGATATTTCACCATTTAAGGTATTTAATGCTCTTCAATTCTGATTCATAATTTAATTTTTTTCAAATCTAGTATACATAATTTTAAAAATTATATTTACTTTTATTCTCTTATATTGTCTTTAATGTAATTTTTTATTTTTTTTTATTATAAGTACTTTTTCTAAAACTTTTCATATGCATTTTTCCAATTTTATGTAAAATTAAACCAAACAGAAAAGATCAAATAGGTTATTATTGATATATTTGCTATACCATGCAAAAATAAATAAATTAATAATCTTGTTAATTTCACACTTTACATGCAGCATTTAGGCAACTCAGAAGATGCGGTAAATCCCTTCAATTTTATTTTGATTAAAATATTTATTTCGTTATAAAATAAATATGTATATATTTTCTACTAGATAACAATTTTTCTTATTTTTTCCAGTCTGGCGAATTTGTTGTGATTAAGACAGATTTGGATGAAGAATATCCTCCTCTTTGGAGGATAGATGGTAAAACATTGCTCCAGAAATATGAGCCATTCAAATCTAATGGGAAAACTTTGTACAGAAACATATCTACGGTAAATTTATAATTATTATAAAATATATTATATTGCAAGTATGAATTAAATATTTTAAAATATGAATTTTACAGTATTCTGCATGGGTTTCACAAAATCGTCATATATATCAACAAGTGCCAGTGAAATTCTGGCAACAGGGCAAGATAGAAACAATTGTGGAATTTTTGAGAGATGAAATGATTGTTGATGACAGGTAAATATACTTATGAAAAAAAATATTTCAAATCTTTCGAGATGTTTCATAAATATTATATAATATTTATTTTTGTCTCTGATTAGTGAGAGTATCGATAAATCTATGAAAGATACTGAGAGGTATCAAGATAATTTTGAAGTATACATACAAACATTGATCTCGCAAGCTTTAGATTCCAATTTCCTTACTGAAATATTTCAGGAACAAGGTAAGGCGAAAATTAAATCGTTTTCATATTTTTATATGCATTATATTACAATGCAAAATATATAACATGTTTTTTTTTTATTGTTGTCTAGATGATTATTTTCTGTCTAACGTTAAAACTGTCGATGAAGTAACGGAAGAGAGAAAACGTCGTCTTTTATCCACGACTAAATGGAAACCAAATGTCGTGACAGCATTATCGACGTGGCCGTGTGTTAACGTGCTTAAAGACTTACCGCCTTCAGAAAATAAAGGAAAACATTGTGCTGGCTGTCAGCAAACTAGAATCTATGCAAGAATTCTGCTTTATGGACAACCATACAACGGTACTACTTTGGAAGGTTCGCCGCCAGATCCAAGAGTACCTCATGAAAAAGTACGAATATATACAATACAAATGAAATTTAATAACAAAGTCTGTATCGATTATTATTCATTCATATCTGTCTCTAGGACTTTTTGTTGTGCCGCATTTGCCAAAAGAAGGTAGCCTTGTATAATAAAGTCGCTCATCAAAAATACTTAATGTTTTTGGAATGTGCGAGAAGAGTGGCGGATAAAAAAGTGGCTGATCCCCACAAAGATACTACAATAATATTAAATGAATTATTAGCAGATGAAGCATGGTTGAATCAAGTAAGTATATTTCTTATTTATTATTTCGACTAGTAATGATTTATTGTTAAACAAAAATAAACTTTTATTTGTTTTTCTAGCTGTTTAAAGAAGTGAGGAACATTTGGGCTGAAATTGATAGCATGGAGCAACAAACTAAAGCAAAACCAAAAGCAATTTTGTCGTCATCGTTGAAACAATATCATAAAACGGAGACAGCAATTATAACTGCTCCTACCGTACTTACGTCTAATGAGACTGCTAATACTTCTGATTCACAGGTGCCTATACAGAATATCGAAAATAATCCCCAATCAGTATCTAGCGATGTGCAAATAAGCAGTGAACCATCTTAGTGGTATTATGATTGTTTATGTTTAATGCAAAATGCAAGACTGTTACAAGTTCAGTGATACGTCTCTGATAACGCATGAACGTTTATCGCCAATATCGACACCAATAAAAAGTATGTTTCGCATGATAACAATAAAAAATCTTATTTATAAAGATATATATCGTGAGAAATTAAGAATATAATCGAGAGATTGTAGTTATAGCGATAAGTCGTAGAATATAAATATATATCAGATAAAAGAAAGAAAAAATTTCACACATATGTAACATATTCACGTTTGATATAGAAGTCTAGCTTTAGCTCGAAATTTGCCATTATAGCATAATGATAGCATAATAATAGCAAAAACTTTCATGTGAATATAGGCATCTAGTTTAGTCTTTGTATCGTGATCTTATATAAGCTTCGATATATGATGAAATCCGAAATATATTGAAATATTATAGACATGACGTGATATTAAACATCGCGGTTCTGAATCATATTTGCATCATGTTTTATCAAATTATAAAATTATAATTTTCATATAATATATAGAGAGCACTATATTATTTTTTTGAATATTTTATAGAAAGATCTAAAGCACGTTCTTTTAAGCAGAGTAATTTACAATAATTAAATATTGTTTTAAATAATTTCAAACAATTTGTATTTGCTCTAAATTTTGTTTTATGTGCGCATACATACAATTATACACATTATACATATAATTATACATACAATTATACAAAATATAAAAATGACAAGGCAAAATGATAAAGAAATCTATGTTTGTGTTTAATATATTTCAAAACAAGACTTTATAACAAATTTATAATAAATCCAATTTTTAATTTTTACATTTAATATAAATGAAATTTTGCATGTCCCACGACATTTGTTATTCAGCACACATCTCTTCCCATGCAATATAATGTATGTATGCAAATTCTTCCATATTAGAGCATTGTGTATACATAAATGAATTTTTAAACATTTTGTATTGCAAAGCACTTTTTAAAAGAAAAAATTGTTGTTATTCTAATGTTAATTTTTTCTTTTTAATCTTATTTCATATTTTATATTTATTACACATTAATTTTTTTCGGAATAATAATGTTTATCAAAAATTGAAAGCAATACAAAGGAATATTTTATTATATATATATGTGTATATATATATATATATATATATATATATATATATATATATATATAATTCTCTGTTTTTAATATCAAAATTATTTTAAAATTTAAAAAAATGAATGTAACAAATAACTAGAATAATTAGTCTTATCGAAGATTAAGATACACTATTGGAATAATTTCTTTATATATGTTCAATATATATTGAAATAATTTTTATTAGCGAGAAACACACAAGCAAACTGAGTCTTTGCTTTAGGAAATTATTCAAAATATTTTTATTGAAAGAATATTTTTACTTACACATGGAACATTCTCAAAAATCAAAACTCATTCAAATTATGTTTGAATTAGAATAAAAGAAGAATATTTATACATTTGTATTGTGTATTATATGTTAAGGTCGCTTCTACAGATACTTTCCAATAGCTGATAAGTATCTTAGGATAGTGTAAGAATTTCGTTGTATATTAAATACCATTACATACACTTCAAGCGACATTTGTGCTTACTCTATAAAATTTATTATTATTAAATTTATTATTATATTATTATTACATCGTCACTATTATTGGTATCATTGTTTTAAATCTTTAACTGTTTAAGTTTTTGACTTGTTTTTAACTAGATTTTTTAGGAGGAAAAAATGAATGTTTTCTAAAGAACAGAATGGTGATATGCATGTATGGGACGAATGTATTTTTCAAAGATGATGTATCAAATTATATTTGTAAATTGTAAAGATATAATAGAGCGAGAGAGTGAGGAAATGATCAGCTGCCGTGTATCGGCGGACGAAAATTTTAAATACGTTTCGTATATTTCGACAAATTGAAAAATCGTGAATATTGACAATTATTCCGATGACGATCGGTTGTACAATAAATTATTGGATGATTTTATATATGGATACACGAGAACTAAAATGCGGGCATTTGGACACTGGCGCAGAATAATTAACAAATAAAGTAAAATATAGCTAAGAAAGATTTTTTTTCAGCGAATGTGCCATGCAATAGTTCATATCGGGCGTAATCTTCATATTGCGTGCGATAATTCGATCGGTGATGTAAATCGATTGCGAATACATGGTTCGAACGAATCTTCTTCCATAAGATTATCGCATTATCGCACGTAGTATTCGCTTAAGGTACCTGTTTCTTCATTGCAGCTATACTGAATTACGATATCAAAAGTGAAAAAGACCGTAATTTGCGGAATTTTTACACGTCGAAATATTTTTTTATACAAATTCAAGTCTCGCGAATAATTTTTTTATATATTACTATTCTTGTTCAATAATATGGATTGATAAGATTAATTTAGATAATTAAGATTTACAACTATTTATTAATCTATATATGAGAGTCTTTCAGATATATTTTCAGGCATATTTTAATCCATATTATTGAATGTATAAATAGCAACATGTGAAAATAATTGATATATTTTAATATATTTAATGGGACAAAAATTCAGGGATATAATTTTTTGCTTCTCGTAATTCAATATGATGTTTGCAGAGGAATCAGAAGCCTTGATATACAACATACAGTTATTGTCAATATTATATTAAGCAAAACTCTATTAATAATATGATTATATTTTCTTTCCTTTAGAGGAAATATCCGAAAATATAATTTTTATTTAATTGTAAATGATTTAGCTTTCTCTCATTCGTGCAAATTAATCATAACAAATTATTAATCATAAAACGAAAAATGACCTTGCAGTATTTTTTGTTATCACGCGATCAAGAAAAAAAGATATGATCAAAATATAAATAATAAAATATTACTCGTATATTTATGGTTTTTTATTAACCATTTTTTTAATAAAAAAATGGAGCAATCCGTGAAACTATAAACGAATATCGTATCTTTATTTTCTACAGCCTTGAAATAATACTTGAAATAATATAATTTTATTGTATTATTAACTTATATTAATTTTATAGTTATAGTTTAAAAAAATATAATTTTTAATCAATAGTGTGTTATACTATTATATATTTTTTCTTATATCATTTCTATGAAACTAATCATTACAAAATTGCCGCCTCGTTTCAAAACTAATGGTCATGATATACAAACATCTAGATATACTATGCAACGTGAAAATATCAGTAAATTCTATATGTACTGAAATGAGCCATTCCTTTGTTTATGAAATAATTCGAATGGCACGATTAACACGTCGCCAATTGACCAATTGAAATTCAAAATATGGCCCTCTGATTGATCAATACTAGTTACCCTAGACACAGGTCGATATAATTGGGCGTTTTCCAGCTAGCGACACAGAGAACACAGTGTATCACTTCATCCTTGTTGGTTGCCGAATAAACAAGGATGAAATGATTCATTGTGTTACACTGTGTCCTCTCTGTCGCTAGTTGGAAAACGCCAACGTGGTCAAAAGGAACGCTCCCAATTAATTCGAATGTTATTAATGGCGCGTGGCACAATAAGTATAATTAATAGTTATTTACAATATCGTGATAAAGTTATTGTTAAACAAATCAGTTTTAATGGCAATAGTTGTTAAATTATTTACAGATTTTTTTCTTGAATGCTATCACGAAACATTTTTTTTGAACAATGTTTTTGAACAAAAAGAAGTTTTATTGAGAAGAGTTTTCTACCAATCACAAGAAGGATAGATATGACTATTTCCTTATGATAGACTGTTTCTTTCTCAAAGATCAAAAGATTCAAGAAAAAAATCATGTCGCATCCTTGATGATTTATTTCGGTATATAAAGTTCAATGAATTAAAATAAAAAGAGTAAAAATTTCTTTGCTTGATCAGATTTCAATCTTCAATATACATATAATTTGATAAGGCTTTAGAACATAATGGCCCATATTCTAAATCTTCTTTCATCGATAAAAGTGCCTCTAATAGAGGCTTACAAGCTTTCTAATTGGCTACAAGCCACTCTTAAAAGCACTTTTATCGATAAAAGAGGATTCAGAATATGGACCAATGAATAGACCTTGAATTTTTGAGTAGACCTTTTAAGCTCCTCTATCAAACTATTACGTGTGTGTGTGTATTAAAGAAGAGAGATTGAAATTTAATAAATCAAAACAAGGAAACTTTAGCTCCTTGTCAAATTCAATCTTTAAGATGCAATTTCATTGACGTTAAAAAGTAGCGTCAACTATTGGTTGAACAAAGAAGTAGTTGCTTCATTGTTTAACCAATGGTTAAACCTTAACCTTAAAGGTGCAATTTCATCGACGCTACTTTTTAGCGTCAATGAAATTGCATCTTAATTTTCAACGATACAGGCGTTAGTATTTATCTCCGCACATGCGAACCCTCCTTGTTTGATAATGTTGGGTCCGCCATCATGCCGTTTCGCTACTCCCATCATCCCCACTACTCCTTCTGCGACTTGCTTCAATTTATCTAACGTTCGGATTTCCAGTTCGTGTTTGTTGCCCGTGAAGGATGCCTTCTGCCAACCCTAAACTAGAGAAACAGGCCTCTACGGAGACCGTGGAACCCCTACGCCAAGTAATCGTCGTAATCGAGCATAAGATACGGAACCTCGAGAAGCGTAAGGTAAACGCAACATCGCGACCCGGCTCGTCGTAATTACAGACAAAAGTCGATCTGTCAATCGCCGTGGCTTCCTTACCGTGTGATCCGCCATGATCCCGATGCGCCATGTGCTCGCGTCTCGATATTTTCCCGAGTATTTACAACGCGCGTCGAGATCGTCTCGTCCGCGTCTCGCCCGCGATCAAACGTCAGAAAGGTTGCCGGCGACGCGGCGATGGAACCGATGACGGAATCCCGAGTTCTCGAACGCGCCAATTTTGCCATCGGCGACATCGTATCATGGCGGTGTACCTATACTATACTAATCGCACGAGATTCGTCTTTGTACACGATGTACTTTTCGACGCCGTCACCGGGACACCATGGCCGATGATACGTACCAACGTATGCAACGGGTTTCGTTGACGATCGAAAGTCTTGCGATGCGACGCACAATTTAGAGATTTATGTTTGGCGTTTTTCTTCTCGCTACGTCGGCATCGAATGGTATCGCGCGATCTTACTGTATATCGTCATCGCGTATCGCGGAATATCTGTTACTATTTTCTTGAAATTGTAAGGAAGATTATAAATTGTGTTTTAATATTTTTTCGACATATATTCGCTGTCGTCTTGCGCCACGTTTCTTAACATGCCTGTCTTTATAATGTTCTGCTTTGACTTATAAATATAAGATTTATTTTCTAGTCATAAATCTAATAATATTAAATCGAGTATATACAGAGAAAATGAGAGAGTAATTAGTGGTTAGAGGTAAATTTAAAAAAAGAGGTAAATTTATAAATATAACTTTCTGGATTTAGGGCAAACTCGAATCGTATAGGGACTTACAGAAGAATGGAAGGGAGTTGAATTCGGACCAGAAAACAGCAGTGGCTAAATATGACGAAGTGCTTCAAACATTGGACAATACTCGAGATCTATACAAACAAATTGTCACCATTGCCAATGACTCGGTTAAACAGCAGAAGAAACAGGCGCGAAAAGAGGCTGTCGAGCGTATGCAGCAAGATATTGCAAAAGTACGCATCAATATTTTAAATATAATTTTATCTATTTGAAATTGAATCCAAGAAAATATTGAAATATGTTTGTGATGTCAATTGTAGGTGAAAGAAGTGCTACTTATTCAACACATCTTGGTAAGCTTGGCCACTGATTCCATTAGAAATGATTTCACTCAAGGAACAAACGGAGCTGTAAAATTATCAGAGGAGGAATTAAAGTACCTGGAGAACTTATATATCGAAGTAATTATAAAACAACAACGTGACGAAGATGACTTAACATTTATACAACAAACCCAAAAAGTAGCAGAGCACTATGTGGCGATTGTGGATGGAAAACAACGTGAAGTTGTCGGCACTACTTATAATAAATTGAAGGAGATTATTACAAAAATTAATCAGTGTGGTTATTTTGATCAAGTTCACGAATGTTCAGAAGCAATACCAATAGAAGAAGTATGTATTAAACTTTCAATACATATGTGTCTGATACATGTGTATATAATCTAATTGTGATTCTTATTTGTTATAGGTTGCAGAAGTTGTAACGGAAACAAAGCTTAGTGATTCGCAAACAGGGCAGGAACAGGTCAACGAAGAATACAATAACGGCAATGACAGGCACATTCCACCGGAACCTATGATACCCATTCCAAACTTTCCAGTTCAAGTTGCACCGCTGCCAGTTGTTTCCGGTGCCGCACCGGTCTCGGGACCCATTTCGGTCGTTCCACAGCCTATGCCGCCTCACCCAGCTGCACCGGTCGACACGCCTTACTATACAAATGCTACCAGTTTTGTTCCGCAACAGCAACAACAGCAAACTCAACAACAATCCCAACAACAGCCTCCACCAGCGCCTCGAATCAATGATGTCATAGGCACGCCAAATTTCTTTTTCTTACAAGAATCTGAGCTCGATTCACCGGATGTCACGTCACAAGCACCCATTGTATCGCACATTCCTCCCGCAGTCAACGCGCCCATTCCTTCGCAGACCTTTACGAACCAAAATTTTGCAAATGCACCTGTGGCCGTTCCTCAACAAGTCATATATCAGCATCAGCCACCGCAGGATATGTCACACATTCCTGGATTCGCGAATCCTAATCCACCGCCACCAATCCCGATGCCGCCCTCGCATCAGCAGCCAAACATGCAATACAGTCCGCAACATCCGGCCGGTTTTCAGCCTCAACAAGCACAACAGCAACAAAATACGGTGCAACAACTGCCACAAGGACAAACACAAAATTTCAATGAACAAAGATCACCTCAGCAACAAGAGACTCAAACGCCCACAGAGGTAATATTCAATTTTTCTTTTGGCATAAGATTGATAGAAAAAAATAATTGATATTATTATCGACTTGAAATGACCCATATACCCTTTATAGGAAAAAACTGAGAATGGTCAAAATGAAACTACTACTACGGACTCGTCATTGGAACAACAGAATGAATCTGTAGATTGGTGTCAAATGACCGAAACCAATGATTGGAGTCAGTCTGATCAACAACAGCAATCTATTCAAGATTCTCAGCAAGTGTCGCCACAACAGACATCGCAACAGACTTGGGGTGATCAACAACGTGGATACAGAGGAAGGGGAAATAGAAGGGGGACCACTAATGGCTATAATAGTAGGGGCAGGAATAATTATCAACAAAATGGACGTGGAGGACAAGGTAAAACAACATTTTAATATATGGATAATCAATTCATAATTTAAATGAATACATGTAACATTTTTCTGAAAGATTTTTACAATCTTTTTAAAATCTTTTTTTATATGAAACGTACATATCGAGATGTAATATAAACTTTTTATTTTTTTTCCTAGGCACGTATTATCGCAACGATAGTAACTATCAGAATGGATATCAGCAACGTTCTTGGGGCAACAATGATGGAAATAACGGATATGCTGCCGGCTTTAAGCGTGGTGGTGGCGGAGGAGCGAGGGGTGCGCGCAACGAACGCGCTGGTCGTGGACAATACCGGGGACAGAATAGGACCAACCGTGGCGGATATATGCCACGCGGCAAGCCTCATCCCGCGCAATAATAAGCGAGAGAGGAAAACACTAGCGTAAATACACAGTGAAACGCACTTTAAAGATGATGTTCTACGATTACAATTCAACTGTCTATTTACGAAAAAGCTTAAGTCGAGAATGCATTTGCAATATGAAGTGAGATTTCAAAGTAGTAGATATCGCGTGTATGAGTATTAATATGCAATAACTTTGATATTAAAGATCGATTAAGTGACTGATATAGTTTCTGTAATGCAATAGGAAATGTGTTATATGTTTTTTTATCTATTTGCACATACATTAAGATTCTTTGAGAAGATAAAGTTGATTAGAATTATTAGTACATATAGAGTTTTGCATCTAATGTAATAATTTCGTATAAAGTTATGTACGAGGCTAATGAAAAATCAATTTGAAAAAATCTTATCTTATGTTGGCATTTGCTGAGATTTACGGCTTAGGATGTTTCTTAAATATGACATTGAAAAAGTAAAACTTTGCATTTGAATTTGGTGTCTGTAATTATGAAGAGAAGATAATGTTAATAAAAAAAAAGACGATGCAGAGGTAACATTGTGATATATAAAGAAAAATCAACCAAATTCAGAAGTGTGAACCTACCGTTCAAGTATTATTGTATTATGTGACAGAAGGCAGGTTTCACAGGGCAACAACAGCAGATTACGAAAATAGAAAAAAAATTTTATTAAAAAAAATTAAAAAAAAAATAAAAGAACTCTCAAATATTTCATGTAAAGACTACAGGAACGTATTTAAAAAATAACGTTAAGATGATTATAATTATATATAAATATATATATATATATATAAAATAGGCGATCTGCACGACCATCTCTTCGCCTTGCGGCGTATCGCTTCCAGAGGGAATTTTTTATGATACCAGAAAAAAAGAGGACATGACGAGCACATGCTTTCTTTAAACTAAACTAGAAATATCTTCTCGATTTCGTACTTCGTATCTGGTATACGAATTTGACGAAGATTAATTAAAAACTTCGTATTTAGATGGTGATTTGAGAAAGTTGTAATGAGTCATGATATGTAAAGATCTGAAAAGGACGACATTTTTTCACATAGTGGTACATATGTATCGTGACACTGTACACATTTCAAATTGCTGTCGCTCCCTCCCTTCTGTTTTTTTCTGCGTGATTCTGAAATTCCTCGCACAATGGTCGCGTCTTGCACCGCCAAGCGAAAGAGATTGCAGTGCATTGTCCTCATTTACGATATAATGCATTATCTAATTTTTTTTTGTATTAAGAAGAGAAAAGAAACGTATAATTATTTTTAAAACGGAGGAAGCGATTAGAGGAAGAGAGAAAGAGCGTGCGGAGCTCTTTAGCGTGTAAGTCGAGTTCAGTGTACAATTATTGACTAGATTCGGAAGAAGAAAGGTGTGTTCAAAGTGCGCTGCCGATAAGTCACGCTCCACACCGATGAAAAATATCATATTTTGTTTGTACATTTGTGTTTAATCACCTCCCTACCCTTCCCCGTCACGATTACGTTAAAACTATCCTACGACTTGCCTATGTATCTTCCAAATAAAGATCTAATTCAACCCTGCTTAACCGAGCATTTATTCTCGGTACGAGAACAATTTGATCTCACTTTGATTCTCGACCTGCAAAAAATTCAAACATTTCGTTAACGATTGTATATATAAATTTTATCAAGTATTGCTCAGTCACATATATAAAATCATTATGTACACACAAGTGTGATGTTTAATTAATTAATAATATATCATTGCTTGAAAGAAAGAACGCGCTGCTTCAAATATAATCGCATTTAGGCCTGGTTGCACCAACAATTTTATTTATTTCAGCTTTAAACGAGACTTAAATATATGTCTATCTTTATCTTTCTTTCTAAATAAAAACAGACATATATTTAAGTTTCGCTTAAAGCTAAAATAATGTTGGTGCAACCGAGCCTTATACATTTAAAATCACGCACTGTCGATGACATATTTAGAAATTTTGTATTAATCGCTTCCAGAATTACTTTTGCTCTTATATGAAAAATCTTTTTATCTATTTTATGTCCCTTACTGTTTTAGATCAATTGTCCCAGAGATCAGCCCCCATGACTTCCGGATCACGTGACATTCAGAGAGAGACAGTTCTCCACTTAAAGTTACTCATCTCTCTCTTTCTCTAACACAAACACATATAACAGCTTTCCATTGATAAGAAGAGAGCGAAGTATTAAACGAAAGAGAAGCTCCATTCAACATGACAAACAAGGATAGCGTAAACTCTGACTCAACCTGCATATCATTATTCTTTGTTCTCTTCTGATTCATGCTGAATATCTATATCATATACATATATATATACATTAAAATATGGGATATTATCATCTTTTCCTGTTTCAGTATAGCTCAATCAGAAAATTTCTTTACATCAGATAAGAAGTTTATCTTACCTGCGACGATAATTAAATATTTACAATATAATCTTTGAATGAATGTTTGTCTTACATCAACATTATTATCAATGTTTTGAAACTGTAAATTGTTACACGATTATGTGATTAAAGTAATTATTTTCAAATAGTGCACCGCAACGGTGCAATTTAGGTTAAACTTTTATTTTTGTTATATCATTTGCCTTATATATCTTTAGTTTATATATTTTCTAAAACGACTTATCTAATAAACATAATTAGCAAATCGAGATACAATGTTACTACAGAGGCTCTTTCGTGTTACAAACTATAGAATTTTGCAAAGAGTTATATATAAAGATATTTATTCAGTGTATAAGGTATGAAACAAAATTTTAACATATTCACATATATATATATATATCATTATTAGCATTTTATATATATATATATATATATATATATATATATATATATATATATCATTATTAGCATTAAAATCTTTTTCAGAAGGAAAGCGGTATACAAACTATCAGAAAACTATGGATAACATCGCCATTCACCATAATGGGAGTATGGGGATTCATAAAGAACAAAGATGAGATTGAAACACAAATTACGACAAAAGAAGTTCTTATTGCCAAAGTGGATGCACTGTTTGATCAGGGAGACTATAAAAGTATATACAATATTTTGTCAAAATATGAGGTAATTAAATCTTTTGAATTACCTTTGAATATATAACTACAGTTATTATACAATTAATCGCTTTATATAGGATAGTAAGGATGTTGAAATCTTGTGGCGTTTATGTAGAGCCATTTATAAAATGTCTGAAATGGCCAGTGATGTGGAAGCACGAAAGTTGATTTATAAAGGATACGATTTGATAAGTAAGGCTCTTGATATTCAAGAAGATCATTATGCTGTTCATAAATGGATGTCTATATTCCTTAACAGTAAAGCTACTTTCGAAGGCACAAAAGCACATATTAAAGAATTGTACAACATTAAAAAACATTTGTTGGTAAGATACTTGACAAGTAATTTAAGTATACACGCAAACATAAATATTAGTTTATAAGTTAAAAATAATAAAATTAAATGTTATAAAAGAAGATGTATAGAAAATATAATCTAATTAGTTGACATTATTGTTATTCTATAGAGAGCATCGGAATTAAAACCTACTGATGCAACGACGCTCTACATGCTTGGATGCTGGTGTTACGAGATTTCGAGTTTGGCATGGTATCAACGAAAAATAGCATCTATTATATTTGAAGAACCGCCAACTTCGTCCTTTGAAGAAGCATTAATGTATCATGAGAATGCCGAGAAAATTGATCCAAACTTTTACAGTCGTAATTTATTAATGTTAGGAAAAACATATCTGAAACTGAATCGTAAGGAAGATGCCGTAAAATATTTAAAAAAGGCTGTTGAATTTTCTGCCAAAACTGATGATGATCAGAAAGCAAAACAGGAAGCGCAGAAAATATTGAGCAGTATTTAGGGATATAAAGAATACAGATAAATTTAAATATTTTTATACTTTTTTAAATGGAAAAAGAATGTATGATTTTTGTATATTAACAATATATAAGTATATTGACAATATATATAAATTTTATCATATATATATATATATATATATATATATATATATATAAATTTCATATATATATAAATTTTATCATTTCTTAATAATAAAAATTTAAAATGTATATTGTCAATAAATATTTGTATATATTGTATATATTATATATATTATTCTTATAAAATATTAATACTATGAAACATTTAATTATATGTGATAGACAGTGTGTGTAAGGTTTCTTCATTTTTTTTACAAATTTTTATGTTTTTTTAAAAAATTATTATTTTTTTTATTATTTTTATTTTTATTTTACGTTTTATATATATATGCAAATATTTTATATATTTATATTGTATGAATATATATTAATATATTAATATTGTATGAATATATTAATAATGAATCCACATATAGAAATATATTATAATTTGAGCATTGTATTGTATTTATATTGTTACATTTTTGAGAGATGTGCGTGCGAATTATTTTGGATTCTCTACATTATTACGACTACGTCCGTTTTGACGCTTTCTACGCTGAAGGTATCTTTGTTGGATGTTCGATGTGCAATAAAGACAATTATACTTGGCGCGTGAGCGTGTAAAATGAACGCAGCTACATCATCTCGGTTCCTGCCAATCGTCGTGAGCTTGACTGTTGGCGCGAATCGTCTTAAATTAGGCTAGACGCTAGACAGTTGCATAAACGCATTGATCACTTACTTCACTCATCCAGTGCCGTTATACAGCTCGAAGATTTACCAGGATCTGAATAATATCGACGATGGATGGATTCATTAGGACTTGTACAGCAACATCGATGAGCAGATTTGTCGACAATTTTAACAGTGACGTGATTGTTGGCATTGGACGATATCTTGAAGCCTGCACGAGACAGGTACATATTGCTTTAATACGACATTAAATTGTTCAGATTGTCGAGTTTAAAGTCATATATACGTATGTACGTATTATCCATATCTTTTTCTTGGAAATAATTAAAATGTATGTATGGACTTGTACTAAATGATACAGTTGATTCTTGAAATTTGTTAAATTGATTGAAGTACTATTTAAAAATAAATTTTTGATAATCTGCAGTTGCAAATTGATATGTTTTTCGAAAATATAAAGGTATATAAAGACATGTCAACAATAAAATTGCATAATTATACTACGTTTTAAATTAGCAAAATAGTTATAATTATATTTTTATATAAAAAATATCAAATATCCATATCATATATTTTAAAATATATGCGTTATATATATAATGTTTTTGTATGTTACTTGAACAAGTACATAAAATATTTTCCAAAAATATATTTAAATTATATTTTTTTAGATACATGGATCGAAATTACGAAGATTACAACTTACAACTCCTGCGCGATGACATGAGAATACATTCTACATTCAGTGCACAGATGACTTGATGAGAAACGATGAGAAGATTCATATTTCTCTTTCCTGAAGCATGACTTTGCAGACACAGCATCAATACACTCTTTCTTTTATCTACATACTTTTTCTAATGAAGAAGTAATCAGCTAACGGAATAAACAACATTCGTCAAAGTGGAATATGTCAGGTAAACAAGTAAAAAAATAATAATAAAAGATAATATCACACGATATATATGGATGTGAAGACACTTATTTATTTTATTTCTATTTTATTCATCAGTGAACAGACAAATACATTATTTATACGAATATAATTAATATAATTTATCGTGTGTGATTTTAATAAATAATTTATGAAATATATTCCTATGTAAAGTATATATTTTGAAAGCTTATAACGATAATTTGAGGAGGAGAAGAAGGAGATTTGCCTTTTAATATTGATTTAGAGAACAATCTATTTTTACGCTACAATTTTAAGAGAACATTCGTAAACTACTTATAAACTATGTATTCTTGTTGAATCGTATTCGCATATCGATGTACATAGCGAATATAATGTTAAATATGCTTATTTACTACAGCATGATCGTGTCAATATATATGAAGCATCAAGGCCTAAAATATAATAATAAACAGTAGAAATAAAAAGTAACAGGCGAGTATGAAACTCTATAAGATAAGAGAATTCGGTATCTAAAATGATATTTAAATTTATTTTTATCTGACATTTGTAATCTCGTGATTACTCGATGTCACGAAAAGGCGCTAAGAATTTTACAAAATCAATCCCGATCGAATCGAACAACAATAATATCACTCGATACACAATTATTATTATTATATATTTTGCTTCGCTTTTGTATATAATGACATATATATTGTATATGAGATCGCATGTTTCTCGCGTGTCATTTCTCCCGCTTTCTCGAAGATAGACTTTATCGTCGGTAAAGATGGTATTCGTAAATATATACACATCGTATGTCGGTAATAGCGTTATTTGCAAGTGTATTCCTCGGTACGTTCCGTGCAAGTCTCGCACTGCACACGGCAACACCAGTGAAACTTGCATTTGCACTGCCACGTTCTCGTGAATTGGTGCGTGTTGTAACCACGACCGCAGCACATTAAATCGCATCCATCGGTTCCTGGACGAAAAGAAAGGGTAAGCGATAAATATTCTTGCGATCGACAAGAATGAACAAACGCGATCTCTTCGTTGATCGAATATTCAAAATGGAGGCGGGAGAAGTGAAAAGATTCGCGCACAAAAATCTCTTTTTCTTTTGAACAAGAGAATTATAATAAAAATTCATATATCATTCATATATCATTTCTTCTTACCTTTGCTCGTACGATTGCAGTATCTGCCCTGTGTGCCAAGACTACCCTGCGCCAAATCCGGCTCGCAGTAGTTGGGGGAAGATTGCAGGTAGACCAGCTCGCTCCTCTTCGGGATCCTCTTCAATCCTTTGCCCGGACCACCGCTGACCTTCGTCTTTTTCAAGACCAAATGCGGCTTCCGCGACTTGCTGGACTTCTTCGAGGGCTCGTGCCGCGACTTGGCGAGATCGTTCGGCTTGCCTTGAGTTTTGGCGTCGTTGCCCAATATAGGTACCATTTCCGCCGACGCGGAATGCGACATCGCGTCCAGTGTCTATGACGTACGGAAGTATCTCGTATAGAATTTTTGTAAAAATATTATTGAAAGAAAAAGATGCGACTCGATTTAGATATATTATAATCATAATATATACATTAATCGCATTCCAAATCGGCCATATATTGATTTATCAAATTAATGAATTAATTTACTAAGACAAATTACCTGATCCGTGGACGGAGGTGGCGGTGTAACAGCGATGACGGGTCTGGCCCTGTAATATTTCTTCATGAGCGCGTCTCCGATCTGGCGAAAACTCGGCAACGTTCGCCAACACGTTCTCACGGTACATGATCCGGACACGCCGTGACATTTGCACTCCGTTTGCAGATGAGCCTTAACGATCTAGAAAAAAAAATAATAGCATAATTTCCATGGACATTATGATTCCTCGCGTGTGTTTTCTTCATTATTCACTTTTCTTTATTCATCTCCGACTGACATTTAACTTTGCGTTTTACAAAAGTGCAAGCACTTACGGCAATGATATTAATTATTGTATTTTACTATTACTAAATCTTATAAAAAGTTATAATGCTCAGTTGGACTGATTACGAATAAAATGATACAATTGAAGAATAGAATGTTATTCAACTTATATTATTGCTATAATTTCGTCTTTTTGCATTACATATTTGAATCGGAAATCTTATTAAATTGCTATAATTATATAAAAGATGGCTATTATCTATTGTTTTATAGTCAATAAGGAAAAGTGTCTTGGTTGTTACATAACTATGCATAATTTCTTATTGAAAACAAATCAGTTTTCATTAATAGTTTGGCTATATGAAAAAAACAAATAATAGCAGTCTACAATTTTTAAAAATTGGATTTGCGTTTTAAATTCCTTTTTTAATTATTTAAATGCAATATGCGAAATATCTCATAATTATAGACTTGTAAGTAAGATATATTGATTTGATTCAAAGGTACAAATATAAAACAGATTTGCTTAAGATCGAGAAATCATATATCGTATCGAAACAGACGACAACTCGGCGCGATCAATGCAAGGTGATGTACACCGATTAGTTCCTTACATCGTACAACGTATGTCCTATGCAAATTTCAAATCTACACGTGTGTCCCTTTCGATGCGAATGAAAATGAGAACGAAAACTTTTACAATGTATGCTCGATGAGAACGGATGCGTCGTTCGATGCCTGAATCATTTTCAAAGGACAAGGAGATACGCATCGATTCATTATGAAGGAATCAATGGCGTAGAGAGAAAGAGAATCATCTCAATTATAGTTATAATTCGTCATAATATTATTTATAATAATTTTCAACTTTAGCATGTTCATATTTTTTTATAACATTTCCTTTAACGTTTAAAAACGTGAAAAATTTACACACACGACTGTATCTCTTGAAAAAAGATTCGCCAAAGGTTCCTTCTTTAGATTCTAATCCCAATGCTTTAATTATATTTCGATATTTCCATACATATATGACTGATTTATGTTTCGAACTTATGATTTAGATACATAATATACGTAGTACAAGTTAAGCGAAGAATACAATTCTTAATCACATATATCTGAACACTGTGATTTTGATAGAAGCGTAACTGTGACGCGATCAAGCGATATTTTTGCAAATTAATCCGGTGTAAAGATTTTGCATAACCACGCCACTGGGCGCGGGAGATGCATCTCGGAACGACCGACCGCGTGATTTTAAATGGTTGTAATCGTATCGAGTGCTCATCTGTAAATTCCTGTTGCTCGCTCGATTCCCGATAGGGAGGGGCAAAGAAAGAAGGGAGCGGAAAGGGGGAAGGCAGGGACCTCTCATTGTGCGTCGAACGCGCGCGCGCGAGCGGATACGATGCGATAGCGATGCGTACACGCGAAACTGGTTTATATTTCGAATTATCTCCGCGTGTGGTGTGTGCCACGGATGCGTGCGGGAGAGAGGAGAGGTTGAAAAAATCGTCGGGGCATAAAGTATGCGCGTCGGGACGATCGACGTTGTGAGAATAAATCGTTAGCCCCTCGCGGGACCGAGGTACACGTGTGTATACGCGTGATACATACCTACGTATACGATACATACCTACGGAAAGGAGAGTTTTTATTGCCCGCCCGTAATAAAGGCCCATCGAAGAAAGCTCGAAAGAACGAACTTTCCCCAATTAAGGCAGGCCGCCCTCGACCTCGGACATCGTTTCTCACAAACGTTCGTTGTCGATTGTCGACCTTCCTGCGCGAGCAGGGATACATAATCGTCCAACAAGCCGCGAGGAGGAAAGGGATTTTAATCCTCGATATATAAACAAGTCGATAAATTTACAGTTGCTCTTAATTACCTTTTCAACTATGAAAGGAATTATTATAATTGCACGAACGCGGAATGAAATATCGATATGATATATCTTAATCAGATTGTCGCGATATTGATTATTTTCACGAGACACGATTGAAATGTCTAGATAATGTAAGGTGAACGGGTGCGTCCGTGCGAATCGCGAAACGACGACATTGTCTTCTTCGGGGATGATTGGCTCCTCAGTGGGTTATTGCGCGATAAATCAAATTTGATAGCGTCTGGTTTGCATACGCTTCGTATACGAGAGATGTGTGCGCGTCTCATTATGGATATTACCGCCTTGTTATTCGATCTCGGATCATTTCCATCCGAAGATACTATTGATATCTTCACACGTTATATAAATAAATAAATAAATAAATAAATTATATATATATATATATATATATATATATATACATACACACACACACACACACACACACACACACACACACAGGGTGTTTCTTAATGACTGCGAAAAAATATTAATAAATAACCTTTTACTAGTAGAAAATATCCACCTAATTTCTTCAACTTTTTCTAAATTTGAGAAAAAAATAAAAACTTAATTTTTACCTCCATTTTTGGAACAGTATAACTGAAAGAATCATCTACTAAAATTTTTCACATTTATTAAGAAACACCCTATATATATTTATATATTTATTTATTTATTTATAGAATGTTTCAAAGTTAAACGATCAAATAAATTCTACTTCAATAAATTCTACAAGTAGAAGTAAGAAAAAAAATATTACACAAACGTAGGTCCGGAAATATGTGTGTAGATGCCCACACATACGCACGTATAGTATGCAAATAAATTTATAAACGTAAATGCGTTTCGAGTAAATTAAGTAACAAGTTAACGGGAACGACGATGCGTCCGCTTCTTTCGATTGCATTGTACATAGCTTCTCGTGTATAATACTCTACCATATAATTTTAAAATCACGCGTAATATAATTATATACGAGACGATGAGATTGAGGTAGCGACGAAGTACCATGCCGTCGTCAAATGTCGGCGAGCTTAATTTCCGCGCTAAACGATTCCTCTCGCGAGTTACAGTAATTAGTATCGCTTCACGGTAATTATGATGTTCATTACGTAGTAGTTGCTTTACGCGCTATCTGTCCGACTGACTTTTGACGCTTTCCGAGAGCTTTCTTCTCGCGAAAAAAACCGACGTTCTTATAAATATTACGATGAGATATAAAAACGCTAGCGTCAATTTACTTTCTTACCTTTCTTCCGGCTTTGTTGTTGTGAAGATTCATCAAGCTCCGAGCGTCTCCTTCGATCTCCCTCGCGTCCAGAAACCTACGCGCGAACCTAGCATTAAATTATAATATTAAAATTCACGCGTGTCTCTAGAGAAAGCGAGCGTTTGTCGTCGCGAGGCAAGCTAACTTGGAATTAGCGAGAATCTAATTAACTATCTCTTATTAACATAGTACCTCATTCCGTACGTGACGTCGGCGCTGCAACCGCCCCATTCCCAGCCGTTCGGCGGTAATTCCTTCCTCGTCCTACAAATGGACGCGATATATTAATTTATAATAATTAATATTGTATGTTTACATGTACACACAATTTTACATCGTGCAAGTACCTTACGGCAGGTTCGCAACCGCAGGCGGTGAGGTTGCCACGACTACAAGCTGCGGTAACCGCATACGTGACACCGGCCGAACTTATCGCGTACGTGAAAGCTGCCTCCCTACTACCTGTAAATAGAAATTTATGTTAAAAAAATTTTTCAAGCCGTCATAAATTACAAGCGTCAAATTTAGTAGAATAGAACAATTTCCAAGAAAATATTATTATATAATATAAATATAAAATATTACTATTATATAATAATAATATAAAATATTATATAAAATATAAAATCAAATATAAAATATTATAATTATATACAAATATTATTATATAATATAAAATATTATTATATAATATAAAATATTATTATATACACAAGCTATAGAAGATTGCCGCGATTATATAAATACATGTGTTGTGGTCAGCGTCATCCGTAGATTATGTGAAACGTAAACGCATTCTCTTTCCGGGTCAATTAATAATTGAACGTTTATAGCCGCGTGCATGAATCGTGATTCGTTTGAAATTTACACGTCGACCGGAGATCCGAGGACCCCGGAGGCTTTCTAGCTTGGCGCTGCCTCGTCAAGCATTCTTTTCCGTCACGCGAATTTATTACAGCTAGTTGTTCGCCATCGTGACGGTGCCGCGCGCGAGCGCAATTAATTAGCCGCGTGAGCCGCGCTCTCGCCTCGTTTATGCCACGTTGAATGAATTACCGTACGTCCGTTTTCTCGCGATACCCATTTTTCATTCCATCATCGTCGTCGTCGTCGACACCTACGCGCCGCTCTCAGGACTGTCCGATTCAGTTGGCGTTTCACTCTATCGTCGTCAAATCTGCTTGGCTTTAATTCGCGCGTCCGTCATGTCAGTAATCGCGTGATAATCTCATGTAGATTCGATTTATATTAACATCGAATTTATAATGCCAGCCAGTTTGCGTGGAGGAAATTTTCGCTTTTGTATAATTACCAGAGAAGAATATCGATCAAACAATATAATGAATAAATTAAATTTCGCATTATCTGGATGTCTATTCTCTGGAAAAAAAGGAAAATTTAAAATTGTCAGGAATATTTTTTTATCTGGAAAAATCAGGAAATTCTCATAGAATTTTATTTAAAGTTGGGAAATTTTGTGAAAATTGTTAGGAATTTTTTTTTATCTGAAAAAGTCAGGAAATTCTCATAGAATTTTATTTAGAATCGGGGAATTTTTTGCAAAATTTTTTCTTTGATAATTTTGCTTTTATGCTACAAGCAATCGATAATCGCTGATAAATCAAGTGAATTTATGTGTTTAAAATATAAATATGTCTATAAAAAATCTTACATATTTCATGTTTTAACAAAGTATTGAATATAATTTTTAACAAATGAAAAAATAAAAATATTATGCAATTGAAAAATTTTCTTTTACGAAAGCTATTGTCAGCTTTTTCAATACACTTGTAAGTCTAGCATTTGAAACTTAAGATTCTTTCTATAAGTGAAAAGCATTAGAAAATACATAGAATAAAGAAATTTATTTTAAGAAATTGTATCCAAAAATCTTTTATCTGGAATTTTGAATACAAGTTGGAAAATTAGAGAGTTTTTTCAGACAAATTTTTTTATAAGATTTGAGGGAATCTCTTGATTATACATCCCTCGGTTACGGTCGCCTATGCAACAAGTGTATTCCTTATCGAGCAACGCTGGGAAACGAAAAGAGATCCGGCTAACTGTAATTACAGCGGAATCATCCTACACGATAACTCGAGTCGATGTTTGTTATGCACGCGGTCATAACTCACAGCCACCGACACGCGCCTGCCTGGACCTCGTGTGTTATGAAAGTAAATAAGCCCCGCGAAAGAAGTTACATCCACGACTCTTGCATTCGGCTCCGATTTTTTGCAATGCGCGCTTTGATTATTGCGATTGCGACAACGTATGTCAAGATAGAGCTGTCCTCGTCCCAAAATCATCTATGCAATTATGAAAAGGAGGGATATTTTCTGCAAATATTATTTTGAGCGATTTTTATTTATTAAATGAATAGAATAAGGCGGATTAAAATATGCTTATAGTAGAATCTCCACATTTCAAGCACGCCAAGACGAACTTTCTCTATTTCTAATAATTAATCTTCATTCTTAATGTCTAATGAATACATGTGGAATAAAAGCTACTGAAAGATAAATTACAAATACGCATATGAGATTTCCCGTTCTTTCACATTACGTAAGTCACGTGTAACAAATATAAAGTAGTAGGGAAGCGCAGCTAAAAGAAAGAGTTAAAAATACAAACGTGTCAAGAGTATGATGACTTGACTGTGCGATTAGACGTCATTAATTGAATTGTCTTATTATACCGAGCGAAGGTGATTCTCGAGAGGACAATGCGGCGAATGCAGGGTGTTTGTAAAAAATATATGACAGCATCCTACGTGGCGTTGCAGAGTCGCGTACATTCTATTCTCTTCTGCTTTTATTGTCAGACTTTGTTGCTCGGTTACCACGATGATGTTCTTGTCGTGCAATCGCACTCGCGGACTCGACGGACTCGCGGTGAGAAAACGAACGCGTTTACGCCTCGCGAGATTGCGGTCGTGATGCTGCGCTTTTTGCGCCATGATTTCTGTCGTGAAGACTAAGAACGTAATAGGACAGTGCGCGGTCTTGTGTGGGAAATGAAAGGTTTCGATGTCCCTTACGAGTGTCTCTGTTTCAACTTTACATATCGCAGTCGAATTCTTTAGATTTCTTCATTTCTGGATTCTTTGGTATAAATTCTTCCGAGACTTTTATATGTCCTGTTTTTTTAATACTGGTCAAAAATATATCACATTTATGTTTCTTGAGGATATTCAAAGGATATATTATTTCTATCTAGTCAAATATGTTTAATACTAAACTCAAGAAAAATTGATTAAATATGTATACTTTGAATTAAGTTATCCTCAAAAAACATAAAGGTGATATTTTTGACCGGTGCCGTACATTTTGTTGTATTAATAATGGAAAATTATATGGAGAGCAAATTTGCATTTCTATTTGTGAAAGCGTCTTCCGAATCGCGATCGACATCGAAAGAGGAGCCGATTGGCCCGAGCCGGGCGCATCGGTCAAAAGGTTGATGAATTTACGCCGAGCGTTTATGTCAAAGGACGGCAGCGCGGCCATCCGTTTAACGTCGGAAGAGCCGGTAAGGGGTAAATTTATCGTTTCGTCGGCATTTGCCGCGATGCCGCGGCTCTTTCTTCTTTTTCTCCCTCTCCTTCTTGCTCGTTCGCTCGCTTCCGCCGATGGGCGGAGAGGAGAAAGAGAGGTGGCCTTTTCACATAAATTCATTTCAGCTGTAAAACGTGAACGCGCCAAATGAGCACCGCTTCCATATTAGGTCACGGCATACGGTGATACCGAAGAGTCGTTGTTCATGCCGAACCGGCGAGAGAGTAGGCCTCAATCTATTTGCGCCGTACATTATATGCGTAGCCATCTGTATATGTGCGTTTGTGCGTGCGTCGTGTATGTCACGTTTGCCCGCGCGCTTATTAACGTCCGAAAATATTGCGGAGCAGCGAGTTGAACGAAAATGGATTATTCTGCGTGCAATAGTTCTCGTTGAAATTTATCTTTGTTCGGAGTGACCGAATTGCAATAATTTCTGCGCTTGATATTTATCAATATTACAATTTTTATTTGGATTTTCGATTCTATGTCAAAGTATCGTCGACTACTGTTCAAGAGGCGGTTTAAGCGACAGCTTAAAAAGGAGCAGTGTAAGGGCCCCGCGATCAATCGTCATGCCTGAGCGATCTTTTAATTTATATCATCGCATTTTAAATGACTCGTATAATGGCTATACGAAATTTATAAGCCGCCGCGTCACCGAACGTGGGCGATTATTTACGACGATTGCACGACGCGAAATCAAATTTAATAATGAGTTTGATCTCTCATCGCAATCCCCCGACCATCCATTTCTTAGCGCGACGTTCATTTCTCCGGCAAAAATTTATCATTAATATAAATACGTATAATATTACAAACCTGCAGATATGTTTTACGATCCAGACAGCAATTTTCATTATAAATGTAATCGAGGAATCATAATTTAAACTTTTATTTCAACAAATATTAATCTTATCTTTCTCTTTAAAATATCTGCATAGAATCTTAAGAATCTCCATTAATATATTTTATATTTTTTGTTTCAGACTTCGTATCCATCTGGGAAAAATACTTTCATTATGCGTCATGGAAGAAACGATCTTTATCGAGTTTCATCGCTCATCGTGGGAGAAAGGTATGACTTATCTGATTAAAAAATTTTCAAATTAATTAGCGAATAGAAAAGTTGGTGATTCTGCGCGAGAATCAAGTTGATTACTCTGGCGGGATCAACAAAGTGCGAGAATCTACCATTTGTTGACCGGCATTAAAACTGGCACGAGAAATAATCCCGACGAGGATTAAATCTTGCATCTTATCTGTCGTGTACATGAGACACATTCATAGCGGTAGACTTCAAATACGTGATGCATCGCAACATCCACCCACAATGCTCGCATTGTTTAAAATGACGTTTCTTTTTCTGCTTAACTCTGCGTTATGATGTCCTCCGCGATTTTATACCTCGCGATTTTTTATCTTATTCAAGGTAACAAGTCCGAATGTATCGTGTCCGGGCAATAAAATATTTCGCGTGATATTACTGCTATATCATTGAAATGACATTATGACTCGTTATTTCAAGACGAGAGGGTACGAAGGATAATTTAATCCGATTAAAAAGAGACGGATCTCTCGCTTGTCAGAGGTTTCCTCGCCAGTGTATGAATCTTTCGAAAGTCAAACTAATCGATTCCATTTTTTATGGATTTTTTAATTTTAGTACCAGAGCATATGATAGCGTTATGATACTAAAATTTAAAAAATATACAAGTGAAGTTGATTAAGTTGGCTCCTAAGAGACTCACATATGTATCATTGTAGATGGATCCAGTAATGTGATCTGTTTTCCGAGTTCTTTTTATACATGGGTATATCAAATATACTCGACGTAATTTAATATTTTATCGGGATCAAGATATCTCTGCGCAATCTCCAGTATTAAATTGTCATTAGATTCAG